TATTGAGCTCCAACTAATCTGTAAATCCTCCTTGGGAATATGAATGTTATCCCTGTTTCTAAAACATTCACAGGAGAGAGGTGAAGGAGATGCTTGGTGTCTATGGAGATGTCACTCACGTGGTACATGGGTACTGGGTACATAGGTACTATCATCACATTTCTATAAATCTGAAACAGTTCTTTTTTACTGAAGTATAGTTGATGTACAATGTTGTGTTAGTTTCTGGTGTATATATCTATCCTTTTTAATAGATTCTTTTCCATTATAAGTTATTACAAGATTTGAATATAGTTCCCTGTGCTATACCATAGGTTCTTGATGTGTATTTTATATACAATAGTATGTATCTGCTAATCCCAAACTCCTAATTTATTCCTCCACCCGCCCCTTTCCCATTTGGTAACCTTAAATTTGTTTTCAGTGTCTGTGAATCTGAATCTGTTTCTGTTTTGTAAACAGGTTCATTTGTATCATTTCTTCTAGATTCCACATAAAGATGATATCATATGATATTTATCTTTGTCTGACTTACTTCACTTAATATGAGAATCTATAGGTCCATCCATGTTGCTACATAATGGCATTATTTCATTCTTTTTTATGGCTAACAGCCCACTGTATACATGTATCACATCTTTGATATCCATTCATCTGTGGATGGACATTCAGGTTGCTTCCATATTTTGACTATTGTAAATAGTGCTAATCTGAACATTAGAGTACATATTTCTTTTCAAGTTAGTTTTCTTTGGATGTATTCCCTAGAAGGGATTGCTGGATCATATGGTAGGTCTATTTTTAGTTTTTATTTTTTTATTAAAAATTTTTTTTATTTTTAGTTTTTAAAAAGAACTTCCATATTGCTCTACACAGTGGCTACATCAGTTGATATTCCTACTGATAGTGTTCTTTACAGCACTATTTCCATCACCAGTCACATCCACAACTAGTCGTTTTTTCACTTTGGCTCAGCCTCTTCATTCTGTATAGAGTTATTTCTCTGGTCTTCTCCAGATGCATATCGGGCACCTACTGACCTGGGGAGTTCATCTTTCAGTGTCATATCTTTTCATACTGTTCATACAATTCATGGGGTTCTCAAGGCAAGAATACTGAAGTGGCTTGCTATTCCTTCTCCAGTGGACCGCATTTTGTCTGAATTCTCCACCATGACCCATCTGTCTTGGGTGGCCCTACACAGCATGGCTCATGGTTTCATTGAGTTAGACAAGACTGTGATCCATGTGATCAGTTAGGTTAGTTTTCTGTGGTTGTGGTTTTCATTCTGTCTGCCCTTTGATGTATAAGGATAAGAGGTTTGTGGAAGCTTCCTGATGGGAGGGGCTGGCTGTGGGGGAATCTGGGTCTTGCTCTTGAAGGGTTGCAGCTGCGAGCCATGTGCTCCACTGGGATCTGTGACCTCCAGAGGAGAGAATTTCAATCCAAGGTGAGCGAAAAGCCTTGACTACTTGGAGATTTTTGTGCAGCAAAGTTTTATTAAAATATAACAGAGATAGAGAAAGCTTCTGACACAGACATCAGAAGGAAACAGAAAGTGCCCACTTGCTAGTTTTTAGCAAGGTGTTTTATGTCTGCTGGTGAACTGTTAATCAGATAAATGAGACTCCTCAAGGCTGAGGGAGTTTCACCAGCCCCCTGTCTCACAATATGCATTTTTGAGATAGAATGACATGAGGTGTCATACCCCAGCCATAAAACAATTGGTATGAACACTGGTTTGTGAGCCATTATCAGCCCAAGGTTTGAGAAAAGAAAAAAATGGTTAGTTTTAGGCAGAACTGGTTTTGTCAACAGAAAGGGGGGGAAAAAAACCATCTGTCACTTGCACTTTATTTTCTCCTGCTGCCTGGGGACCTCTGGCCTCCTGTCTGTTACCCTCTCATTTCCCCCTTTTCTTTTAGGAGAAGTATGTCGCCTAGGGAATGGGGTGGAGTTCTCATCCTATAACTGCTTCCACTGATAAGGGGTGTTGTCCCTAAATTCATGAGGCAACATATTCTCCTCATCCTCATATTGAGGGTCTCTGATCCAGAGGCCCCAGGTAGTAGTTGGAGGAAGCTGTGGCGCTCACAGGAGTTTGGCCAACTGTTTGTAACTTAAAAGCCTTCATACAGCTAGAAACAAATTCAACTACACAGTTACAGATGCATGGAACAAACAGCAAAAACAGAACAATCAGCAAAGTTAGAAGTCACCTTATGTCCATAGTTAAGGCACAAAATGTTACACTAGTCCATTTTAGGATTGTTAGATGTCATCAGATTAAGAAGAAGCATCACATATGATTGTTGTTGTCGAAGGGAGTTGCAGACTTGGAGAAAGTCCTTTCCCTGATGTGGAGATGCCCACCATGGGAAGCCTTCCACCGATGAGGAGGGGAGCACTCTGCAAACCCAGCAATTAGACCTATTGTGGAATGTGGCTTAGAAATGAGCCCAGGACAGGAAGGCACTGTCTTGAGAGTCAAACAGCGGAGTCAGGATTTTTGGAGTCAGCAGATGCAGAGCCACAGAGATTATTGGGCCCATCTGAGAAGGGAAAAGTGAAATCATAGAGAAGAAAGACATAAAAATGACATCATTTAGTCTGAGGGGTCAGTATGCCACTTTTTAACTCCAGCGTGGTGTACCCGTGAGTCAATTCTTGGTGCCTTGACAGCTGTGGGAGAAGAAAGAGCAACCTGTTAAGGGCCTTCCCAGAGGGCTTGAGAGATTGCCCCCCAGGTCCCAGTGTCTTTATCAGGACCTCCGTTCCTGGCTCAGACAGTGGCTTGCTTGATTCAGAGGCTGAGTCAGGAGTCCCTTCCTAGAGTTCCTGGGGAGAGAGACTTTGCTTTTAAAACCTGTCCCGCCACCACCATGGCATAATGTTTTCTGCTTCCCATCCCAAACAACAGAGCTGCCACCTGTAAATATTTTCATGTCAGAATTATCTAATAGGGTATCCATGAGATCTTCCTGAGCTGTATAGTTTAAGGTTAGAAATTGGGAACAATCCTGATCGGGTGTTTCATCTTTTTCTCAGGAAGGAAAGTGGCAGGATTTGAGTTTTCACAAACTTTAAGCTTAGTGATTGGTCCTTCTAACAACAATGACTGATATTTAAGAAGCCAACTGTCTGTCATTCAGATATTAACTTTAGAGCTTAAGATTTCACCGACATCATGAGAAGTCAGTACAGTAAGATTTCGCCCATTAAAACTTAAGAGCTTCAGGTACTATTAAAGCAATAGTAACAATTACTCTTAGACACTGTGGCTGCCGACATGCCACTACATCTAATTCTCCACTCCGGTATCCTAAAGGTTGTTGGTGAGGTCCTCGAGGTTGTGTCATAACTCCCTAGGCCATACTTTTTCTTTCAGTGACAAACATTAAACTCTGATCCGGTGGGCAAGCTCAAAGCAGGAAATGCAGGAGATCAGTTCGAAGAGCCTTAAAAGTCTTTTGAGTATCTGGAGACCAAATCACCTTGACAGTTTGGGCTTGTTGACTTTCAGTTATAAGTTTATGTAAAGGCTGGGCAAGTTTCCCATAACCTGGAATCCAAATGCTGCAGTAGCCTGTGATGACCCCAAATCCTCTCAATTGTCTTAAAGTCATAGGTAGGGGATAATTAAGTATAGGCTTAATTCTTTTGGGGCCTATGGCCCTCATCCCTTTGGGTATGATTAGGCCTTCAAATCAATGACTGAACAATATTTGCCTCATTCAGGAATTTCAGACAATAAAGTATAAGAATTAGGCACCATGGGGTGTAAAGGAACCACAGTCTCATTTATTATTTGTAAATCTTGAACTAGTCTCCATTTATCATTTGACATTTTCACACCCAAAGGAGGAGTGTTGCATGGACTGTTGCAGGGAATTAATAGCCCCTGCTCCTTTAAATGTTCAGTGATAGGTTTTAACCCTTCCTTAACCTTGGGCTTTAGAGGATACTGCTTTTGATGTGGAAATATGTGAGGGTCTTTGAGCTTGACAGTGACAGGAATAGCATTTTTGGCTTGACCCATAGTTTTTCCATCATCCCACACTCTAGGATTTACATTTTGTTAAATTAATGGGAAAGAAAGAGAGGGCTTCATATTCATGAAAACAGAGGCATGGACCTTGCTCAGCATATCCTTCCCCAAAAGGGGTGAGGGAGACTCTGGCAGGATCAGAAACTCATGTGAAAACAGCACAGAGTCCCAGTTGCAGCTTAGAGGACAACTGAAATAATAACATTTGGCTTGTCCAGACAGTCACATTATAGTAGTGGATTGGGGAAAAGTGGGCCAGGGGCTTCAGTAAGCACAGAGTAAGTTGCCCTGGTGTCCAAAAGGAAATAAACAGATTCCACACACCCCCCCCCCCACCAGTTATTAATACACGGGGTTCCTCAGGTGCATTTAGGATGGGAGCTTATGTGGCCACCTTCAGTCTTGATTGTCCTGAGAGTCCGACCTCTGGGGCCTATGTCTCTGGGGGCAGTCTCTCCTGTGTGGTCTTTTGAAGACAGGACATGCACCCAGGGGTGACTTAGAAGCCAGAGGGCAATCCCACTTGAGGTGCCCCTCCTTTCCACAGTAGTAAGAAATCCATCCCTTTCCACCTGGGTCCCTCCTGGCACTTTTTCAGTCTGTCTCAGAATGGTTCTGACGGCCATTATTAGGGCTTCAGTCTGTTCCTTGGTCTTTCTCTGCCTTTCTTTCCTCTCCCCATATTCCCTGCCATAATAAACTGTCTGAGTCAGTTGCAACAAGCTATCTAAAGACTGATTTGATACATACACTTGTTTTAGTAGCTTATGGCAGATATATGGAGCCGACTGAGTGAAAAATCTATCCTTTAAGATCACTCTTCCCTCTTCACTTTCAGGATCAACCTCAGTGAATCTGTGAAGGGCTTCTCACAGTCTATCTAGGAATTTACCAGGTGTTTCCTTCTCTTCCTGTTCTATTTTTGCTAATTTGGCATAGTTTAAAGCCTTAGCATGTGCTTGCCTGAGTCCTTTGAGAATACATCTGGCAAAATGACTCTGACCCCATCTCCCTCTAGCTGTGTTATAGTCACAGTCTGGTTCTATAGTTGGGACCACCAGATTCCCAGTAGGGAGGGTAGCTATCTCGTCTTACCTCTTTCCTGCTAATTCATTACTAAGCCATTCATCTCCATAACTCCATAACTCAATAGCTCTCTCCAAAACTCAAGTTCTTGAGTCAGGAGTTAGCATCTGCCCCAGGATATACAGCACATCCTTTCAAGTAAGGTCGTAAAGCAGAGTAACACCCTTAAAGTCTCTAATGTATTTTTCTGGGTTCTCTAAATAGTCTCCAAGGTCTCCCTTGATTCTTTGTATGTCTTGATAAGAAAAGGGCTCATTAACCCTCATAGATTGATCATTTTTCCTGGTGGGTGCTTCATGGAGAGGCAACGTCTTGTTTGGCTGTTCCTCAGCTTCTCTGGCTGCCCTTCACATATGATCCCAAGGATAGACTGGAGAAACCTGTTTTCCCTTATCTCTTTGTCTCCTGTTCTCCATCTCATCCTGTATGTCACTCTTAGTTTTAGCTGTCTGAGCTTCTTTTACTTCGACTGTCTTGAGTTTCAGTTGAAACCAGAGTAGTCTGAGGTCACATTGAGACAGCAGTTTGAACTGCTACTGAGACTGGGGCAGTTTGAAATTCAGTCTGAGTTTCTACTGAGACAGAGGCAACCCTCCCCTGAGGAGTGCCCTGACTTTCAGCTTGCTCAGTTGGAAGCGGACAGGAGGGAGCTGAAGGTTTCACACCCAAATCTATACCCTTAGGACATAAGTCTGGCATGCCTCGCAGAGAGAAAAAAGGCAACACATATGCTGCTTCTACCCATTTCCCTTGTATTCTACAGAACTGGTCTAATTGTAAGACAATATTATAATTAAAGTTGCTCCAACTGGCCACTGTTCCCCTTCCTCCAGTGGATACCATGGCCATGCAGTTTCACATAGGAAGATCAGGTGACTCTTTTTTAAGCCCTGGGGGTGGAATCTATCCCAGTTTTTCAGGATGCTGTTCAAAGGAGTGAGGCTGGAACCGTTAGCTCCCATCTGTAAGAGAGAAAAAGCAGCATCCAGCAGCCTTTTCTAACAGAGGTGTCCCTCCCTGCTCTAGGTGGGGGTGAAGACAGGTCTTCCACCTAAACTTCCTTCCCTGGCTGGAGTTAACCTGTCTCTTACTGACCCAGGTGTCCCATTACCATCCCTCCCCATTCTACTACCAAGGCGGGATGGCGATGCACCAGAGGTAGACCTAGTGGCATCCCAGATTGAGATCCAGTTCCTTACCATCAAAACCTCTGTCTGATTTCTGCTCCTCCTCTGATGCCACCGAAGTTTCAAGACAGTAGCCTTTGGGAATGCCTCCCAAGCTAAGGCTGCCAGGAGAAACATCCATCTCCTGCATGCCTGTGCATAATCCTGGGTATGTTCCTAACCACAGGAGAACTGGTAAATCATAAAGGACAAACACAAAACTCAAGATGTCCCTTCTGAGTGCCGCCATGCCAGTATAGGTGATAGCAAAGGAGGTGGTGAAGGGCTAGCCAGTGAGGAAAAAGTGATTTTTCCCCCTTGAGTTCTTAGGGCCAATCCTTCCAAACTCACCAGAGAGCCTCCTCTGGTCCACTAAGAGTTAGTGTTGCCAAAGGAAAAAGCTCACTGCTTTTTCCAATCTCACCAGATCCTGGGATTCCTGATCTGTGTCCTCAAAAATCTCACAGTCACCAGCAGGACTCCTGTCCATATAGATCGGAGGCACAGCCATGATAAAGACTCACTTTGAGGTCACTAGTTCCTGAGTCAGGCAGCTAAGAGAGTGACTTCTAGCCTGAGAGACCTTCTGAGAGCTAGAGCTCCACCTAGCTGCTGAACATGCTCTTGTCTGTAGTGCATGAAAAAACAACCAATAGCATGGATTCCAAGTCCTTTGAAACTCTATATTCTGACATGTTTGGTTAGTATTGCTAATTCCTCAGGCAGTAGTGAAATGGTGGCTGAAGAAAGAAAGCTTGGTCCACATGCTTCACCCATTTCTGACCTCTCCCCTTGCTGGAATTTTGGGTGCCTCTTGGTATTGGCATGTCGGTATAAACCTCCAGCAAGGCTTCCCTTGGAGCTGCCTTTGGTCATTATGAGGCACCACAAAACCACAGAACAGGGCTCAATGATCGCTTCCTGGCCAACTCCACATCTCATTCATGCTGCTTTCACACACACAGGCACACCATAGAGTTAGTAAAGTACTGCAGAAAGTGTGTTTACTAGGAGAACAAAGAACTAGAACTCTAAGCATCCTTACCTTGTCTTGAAGATCCCAGATGAGCCCCCAAGATGAATGGCTGCTGCTCCAAGACGTGTATTACACCAGGATTTGTGACCTCCAGAGGAGAGAATTTCAATCCGGGGTCAGAGACAACGCTTGACTACTTGGAGCTTTTTGTGTAGCAAAGTTTTATTAAAGTATAATATAGATAGAGAAAGCTTCTGACATAGACACCAGAAGGAGACAGAAAGAGTGTCACCTTGCTAGTTTTAAGCAAGGCATTTTATGTCTATTAGCAAGCTTCTAATCAGATAAAAGAAACACCTCCAGGCTGAGGGAGTTTCACCAGGCCCTTCTCCCACAATATGCAGTTTTGAGATAGGATGGCACGATGTCATCCCCGGCCATAAAACAATTGACATGAGTTTTGGTTTGTTGAGCCATTATAAGCCCAAGGTTTGAGAAAAGAAAAAAAAGGTTAGTCTTAAGCAGAACTGGTTTTGTCAACAGAGAAGGGGAAAAAAACGTCTGCCACTTGCAATTTATTTCCTCCTGCTGCTTGGGGACCTCTGGCCTTCCTACCTGTTAGCCTCTCAACTCCAGAAATAAGGGATATTATATGATATTTCTCCTTCTCTGTCTGACTTACTTCACTCAGTATGACAATCTCTAGACCCATCCAGGTTGCTGCAAATGCATTATTTCATTCTTTTTACTGGGTGGGTAATATTCCATTATATATATATATATATATATATACACCACATCTTCTTTATCCACCCCTCTGTTGATGGACATTTAGGTTGCTTCCATGTCTTGGCTTCCATGTCTGAAGTTCACAGGGTAGCCAAGAGTCGGACATGGCTAAGCACCTGAACAACAACATCCTGTCTTGGCTATTGTAAACAGACCTGCGATGAACCCTGGGGTTCAAGGATCCTTTCTGATCATGTCCAGGAGTGGGATTTCAGGGTCATAAGATAGCCCCAGAGGTTTCATCTTGTTCTTTCATTTGAAATATACTCCTCAGCCTTCTCACTGTGTTTCACTTTCTCCATTTGCCCCTATGAAATTGGTTGAAACAGTAAACTTTCCCAGTCCTAAAGGCAAGTCCTTGTTGGGAGTGTCTATATACTGTCCATGTGAGCCCATTTGCTTTAGTTGGGAATGGTTCTAAAGTGAGCTTGGAGTGGATCTTCCCCCTAGTACACTGGCAGCTGCTGCCTCAATGGGAGGATGAGCTAGATTCAGAGGAGTTAGACCCAGAGCCAGATGTGAGCTGGGACTTTTCCTAGACTCCATGAAATCATCATCCTAACGGTGTCTGATGCTTTTGAACTGTGGTGCTGGAGAAGATGCATCAGAGTCCCTCGGACAGCAAGGAGATACGGGATTATAACGTTTGCAAACACAATAGCTCTGCTGTCTTGTTAGGACCAAATCCACATTGCAGAGAGAGCTAAAAACAGAGACTCTACCTAAAGGATGACACCATCCACAGTCTAGGAAAAATACTCACTTTGCTATACAGTGGGGATTCCCTGGTGGCTCAGTGGTAAAGAATCTGCCTGCCAATACAGGAGACATGGGTTCAATCCCTGGGTTGGGAAGATCCCCTGGAGTAGGAAATGGCAACCTACTCCAGTATTCTTGCCTGGAAAATCCCATGGACAGAGGAGCCTGGCAGACTACAGTTCATGGGGTCACAAAGAGTCAGAAAGCACTGAGCGACTATAACAACAATGACAAAATCAACTGTACTGCAGTTAAGAAAATGAAAATGACCTGAATGCATGTACCTGACAAAGGCTCATATACATCATAATGCTCAATTTCTGCAAACAATCCTTGAATGTTTAATGAGAGGTGACATGCAAATGAAAAAAAAAAACACAAGAAAAGGTGCTCAACATTTTAAAAACCACAATGAGATACCTCTTTTACCCATGCAAATGGCTAAATGTCAAAATACTGATAATATCAAGTTGTGTTCAGGAAGTGGAGAAAGTGGAACTCTTCAGTATTACTGGGCTATTGCAAACTATTGCAAACATCTTGGAGTTTTGTCAGCTTCTTTTAAAGTGGATCATTAACATATGACCTAGCAATTACACCCAAGGTATTTACCCCAGAAAAATGAGACACGTGGCCACACACACACACACACACACACACACAAATATTATACTAGAATGATCATAGCATCTTTATTTGGTAGAAAAATGGAAATAACTCATATAGACATCAATAAGAACATGGATAAACAAATTGTGATATACAATAGTGTGACATGGTACTTAGCAATAAAAAGGCACAGACTAGCAACATATGCATGAAATGGATGAATTCTAAAATCATCATGATGAGAGAAACATGGTAGGCACCACGAGTACATAGTATATGATTCCACGTATGTGGACTTTAAGAACCAACAGAATTAATCTGTTGCTATAGAAATCAGAATAATTGTTTCTGGGGTGGAAGACTGTGGATGAATGATTGAAAGGATTATGTGGGAACTTTCAGGAATAATGCAGATAGTCCATATCGTGATTTGATTGATATAGTTGATAGATATACAACCAGGAGACGTGGGTTCAAAACTGGGTTGGGAAGATTCCCTGGGGAAGGAAATGGCAATCCACTCTATTATTCTTGCCTGGGAAATCCCATGGATGAAGGAGCCTGGTGGGCTACAGTCCATGGGGTTGCAAAGAATTGGACACAACTTAGCTACTAAACAGCAACAAGAAATACATGTATATACATTTGGAAACTCACCAAATTTAAGATCTACACATCTCTGTGTAAAATAATTGAAAACATTACTCTTAATTATTTGCAAATAACACTGTAACACTACACAAAATATTATTCAACCTAAGCATACATTCTGCCAACAATTCTCCTGTAGGATAAATCAGTTCTCATGGATGATTGAGTCATATGGCTAATTCTTTCTCCAGTATGATTGGAAGGATGGCATGGAAGAGCTTGTCATATTCAGACTGAAGTATTGTTTCTTTTCCCCAATAAGTTGGATGGTTTCTCCATCTCCATGTGTGAATTTGTGGGAGAGACAGAAACATAATTAATGTTGAAATATTCCTGAAAGTAATTTTTGAAATCATTTGATGGCAATTTCCTGACAAAAACATGAGATTTGTATTGGAGCAAGGATCCCAGGGAAAGTCTGAGTGTTTTTCTTCCAGGCTTAATGTATTTAACTTTGTTTTTTATATCTCAGAAAGTTGAAGATATGAAAGTAAGCATAAGATGATGAAGTCTGCCCCCCTTAACTCACCCATGAGGAGACTGACCTCAAATTCACATCCAAATTAATTTCAGAAGTAGGTCTAAAACCAAGGTCTCATACTCTTACATCTCACCTAAACTCATCTTATTTACCCCTTCATTCATTTTCCTTCATCATTATCAAGTAACAGAAGAAAAGCGTTTTGTAATGTCTATCACTTTCTTCAAGTACTATTTTTCCTATGCCAACAGTCCTTAAATTATGATTGGGTGGAGAGGGAGGTGGGAGGGGGGATCGGGATGGGGAATACATGCAAATCCATGGCTGATTCATGTCAATGTATGACAAAAACCACTACAATATTGTAAAGTAATTAGCCTCCAACTAATAAAAATAAATGGAAAAAAAATTATGTCTTTTTTTTTTTTTTTTTTAAAGAACACCAGTGTTCTACAAAATGTAAAGACATTTTCTACAGGAAAAAAAAAATCCTGGCTAAAGATGTTTGGCAAGTCCCAAGTTCTGAGGCCTCTTTGAAGGTTTACAAAGTATAGGCCTGGTTAAGGCTCAGAGCATACCAGTAGTGAAACACCTGTTTGGCAACTTGTGAAACTCATGAACAAGTATATCTTAGTTACAATATAACATAAATAAGAAAGAGTTTCATTCACGTTTTTGTAACTCCAAGCTTTGGACTCAGATTGCTGTTGTTATTTAGTTGCTAAATTGTGTCCAGCTCTTTTGGGACCCATGGACTCTGCAGCCTGCCAGGCTCCTGTGTCCATGGGATTTCCCAGGTGAGGATACTGGAGTGGTTTGCATTTCCTTCTCCAGGGGATCTTCCTGAGCCAGGGACCTAACCTGCATCTCCTGCACTGGCAGGCAGGTCTTTACCACTGAGCCACCGGGGAAGCCCTTGCACTCAGAAACCAATAATCCCAGAAAAACAAAATCTTTCACTGTGCAGATTATATGTGGGTAAGTATGCTATTACCCCACCCTAGAGATGCTCAGTGTCAGATATTGCACAGTATGCTGAGACAGATTCTAACAAGTTCCTGTACCAAGAATCAACACGTGGTCCATTCTCACTATTGGCAGAGGGGCAGACCCAACTGCCGGCTGGTTTGAAGAGAATAATTCAAATTAGGAAACAGCATGGACTAGGAGAGGAAAACATCTTACCATGTGGGTTTGGCTGGTAGAGCTGGAAAGGATGTAGCTGTCAGACTCTGTCTTTTTATTCATCCTCCTAACCCACTTTACGTATTCATCTCTCACCTGAAAAAGATGGTAAACAAAAATCTTGCATTTTAATACTTTCTGGCTATATGCACGGATGCTACTGAAAATAGTACTTTCCCCCATTTTTATTTGCAGATGGTTCATAGGGGCTATATCAGATAGATTGATCTATGAGTGATTGTGTGTTAGTCACTAACTCTTTGTGACCCTATGTACTGTAGCCCACCAGGTTCCTCTGTCCATGGAATTCTTCAGGCAAGAATACTGGAGTGGGTTGCCATGCCCTTCTCCAGGGGGGTCTTCCCAGCACAGGGATCAAACCCAGGTCTCCTGCATTGCTGGCAGATTCTTTACCATCTGAGCCACCAGGCAGGCCCCTATGAGTGATTACAGAGGTAATATATGTGGATTAGCCTATGCATCTTTATGCTAATGATAACACAGCATTTATATTATCCTTAAAAGCATGAGCCGTTTTCTGTAACCACTGAGAATTACTTCCTCCTCTCAATGTTGTTGTTGATGTTCAGTTGTTAGGTCTTATCCCACTCTTTGAGACCCCATGTACTGCAGCACACCAGGTTTCCCTGTCCTTCAGTATCTCCTGGGATTTGCTCAAACTTACATCCATTGAGTCGATGATGCCATCCAACTATCACATCCTCTGTTGCCCCTTTCTCCCCCTGCCCTCAATCTTTCCCAGTATCATGGTCTTCCAATGAGTTGACTCTTTGCATCAGGTGCCAAAGTATTGGAGCTTCAGCTTCAGCATCAGCCCTTCCAATGCATATACAGGGTTGATTTCCTTTAGAATTGACTGGTTTGATCTCCTTGCGTCCAAGTGACTCTCGAGCATCTTCTCCAGCACCACAGTTTGAAGCATCAATTCTTCAGCACTCAGCCTTATTTATGGTTCAACTCTTACATTTATACCTGACTACATGTCTCTCTGAGATCCATACAACCCCACTGGAGTGAAACCAAGCAATATCTATCTATTTATCAAGTCAGAATGCAGTGCAAAATCACTGCTTAAAAAGTTTATGTCGTCCAGCCAATGCTGGCACCTGGATCATCACTAGCACCACATTCTCCTACACTCAGAGCACTGCCCTCGCTACCTGTCTTTGGGTTCTGGAACTGGCAAGGGTTTCCACATCAGCTTTACTTCCCTTCTTTGGCTGGTTGTGTCCTACCCACCTTAAGCTCCTCACCGTCAAGTCTAAAGAAGCCCTACTTGGTAGTTTAATATCCCCCTAACAATTTTCCCCATGGTGCAAACCAGTTGTTTATTTATGTCTAATTATGTTGTTTCCCATTTCTGATTTCTTCACTGTTCAGAAAGCAGCCCCTGGGTCCCCCAGAGCCAAGCAAGTAATAATCATTAACATACCATAGGAATAGTAAGAAATGGAAACCACTGTCCCCCAAACTTTAGTTTTGCTGCTGTCAGACCCCATATTCATGATCTGAGAAGAATGGGGAAGCTACCATCCAATACTCATTACAGATTCATGAGTTGGGAAACTGGAAAATTGGAAAATGGTGACTTGAACTCCAAAGGGGAATCAAGATTGCAGAGTGGCAGGATGTGGAACTCACCTCATCCTACAGATACATAAAAAATGCATCTACAAACAGGGGCTTGAACTCCTGGGCTCAGTGGAGAATGGTAGGCTTGGGGAAAATGGGAACACACCATCAGGCAGGAAGGCATCATGTGGGAGAGAAGGGCTAGCCAGGTAAATGCAGGAGACGACACCAGCTGGGAGCTGGGAAGCAGACAGGATGGGTCCTATTACCTGCTGATTGAGGAGGCAGTGGACCAGGAAGATGTAGACTCCCTGCAGGACATTGGTGATGGTGAAAGCATAGGCGATGATGGATCTGACGGGTTCCTTTATCAGCTCAGCGAGAAAGAAGCCAAGGCACCAGGAACAGCCCAAGAGGAAGAGCTGAGCGATGGCTTTAAACGTCAGCATCCTGTTAACACCAAGAAGGAGAGTCACCAGCTCAGCACCTTCTCTCTTGAGTAGTACGTTGTCCTGCCTTCAGACCCCATCTGCCTTCCTCTCCAGTTGTTGTTATTTAGTTGCTAAGTCATATCTGACTCTGCAAGCCCATGGACTGTAGCCTGCCAGGCTTCTCTGTCCATGGAATTATTCAGGCAAGAATACTGGAGTGGGTTGCCACTTCCTTCTCCAGGGGATCTTCCCAACCCAGGAATTCAGCCTAGATCTCCTGTATTGGCAGGCAGATTCTTTACCACTGAGCCACCTGGGAAGCCCATTCTCTCTAGTTACTGGTGAAATTTTCTCAAGCCAAGATGGACTTGGAGAAACTGTGGTGGTGAGTGCAATATTTGGAAGTAATGGCTATCATTTTCATTGTAAAAACTCTAATAGCTGAACATGAGTTTATTCCATGGATGTTTTCCTCTAATATGAATGTTTATAACTGGAATCATATTTTGTGGTGGTGGTGGCTGTTTAGTTGCTAAGTCATGTCCAACTCTAGTGACCCAATGGACTGTAGCTCACTAGGTTCCTGTGTCCATGGGATTTCCCAGGCAAGAATATTAGTGTGAGTTGACATTTCCTTCTCCAGGAACGGTATTTTACCATTATTTATTTTAATGCAGCAAAATACACATAATGCAAAATTTAAACACACAGTTCATAGGCATTAAATACATTCACATTGTTGTGCCACTAGCCCAACACTTATGTTTCTACTGAGCTCTTTTTCACCCTGAACAACAGAAACTCTGTAACCAAAAAGCAGTAAATACCTATTCCTTCCTATCCTCACCCCTTGGCAACATCAATTCTACTTTCTGGTTCTATGAATCTTCTCATTAATTTCAAGTTTTCAATATATATGATTTTAAGGGTGATTCTCATTTGACAGTGGCTCCTAACATGGGAGGCAACTCTCTATAGATGACTGTTCAGGGGCTTCTCAGGCGCCTCAGTAGGTAAATCATCTGCCTGCTAATGCAGGTGACATGGCTTTGATTGTTGTGTCAGAAAGATTCCCTGGAGGAGAAAATAGCAACCCACTCCAGTATTTTTGTCTGGGAAATCCCCTGGATAGAGGAGCCTGGTGGGCTACTGTCCATGAGGTCGTAAAGCGCTGAGCACTGCTTAGCAACTGAGCATGCATGCATGCTTGAAAAAGCAATCCTTTAGAACTACAACTCATGCTAAGCCCATTAAACTGTCTAAACCCATTTTACCTTGTGTTTTGGATCTTGGACACATCTTTATTGAGGGAAGAAAGTCGGTCTCTCAAAATCCACAGGGTTATCGAGTAAAAGATTAAGTTTATCTGAAAGAAAAAAAAATAAGAAACTAACTGTGGACCAATATAGAGAGTCAGTTTTTTTTATCATGGCCATTCTGACCCGTGTGAGGTAAACTACTCATTGCAGTCTGATCTGCATTTCTCTAATAGCTCATGATGTTGAGCATCTTTTCGTGTGTCTCTTGGCCATCTGTGTGTCTTCTTTGGAGAAACGTCTACATAGGTCTTCTGCCCATTTTTTGATTGGGTGTGTTTCTTCTCATATTGAGTTTCATGAGCTGTTTGTATATTTTGGAGATTCATTCCTCGTAGGTTGCTTTGTTTGCCATTCTTTTCTCCCATTCTGAGGGCTGCTGTTTTGTCTTTTTATGATTTTCTCTGACGTATGTATACTGCCATGTGTAAAGACACCATGTGTAGAGAGCTGCAGATACTAGTGGGAACCCGCCATAGAGTGCAGGGAGCCTAGCTGGGTGTTCTATGGTGACCTAGAGGGTGAGACGGGGGTGGGTGGGAATGAGAGAGGGGATATATATGGTGGCTCAGATAGTAAAGAATCTGCCTACAGTGTAGGAAGCCAAGCTTCGATCCCTGGGTCAGGAAGATCCCTTGGAGAAGGGAATGCCAACCCACTCTAGTAATCTTGCCTGGAGAATTCCATGGACATAAGAGCCTAGTGGGCTATGGTCCATGGAGTCACAAAGAGTTGGGCATGACTGAGTGACTAACATGCTACATGCTATAGCTAATGCATTTTGCTGTGCAACATTGCAAGGCAACTATACCCTAAGAAAAACCATAGAGAGTCAAAATAGAAAGCACTGAAGATCATGGGAAAAGGTATGAGATTTTATGGTTAGAATATATTGAAACTTGGGGACTTCCTTGGTGGTCCAGTGGTTAAGACTGCATGCTTCCAATGCAGGGGATGCAGATTCCATCTCTGGTCAGGAACTAGGATCCCACATGCCTCATAGCACAGACAAATAGTTTAAAAATATGTTGAAATTCCTTTGGAGCAGACTGGGGATACTTGTACAATACCACCAAGGAGCTCCTGAAAGCCCACAAAAGAACGTGCATGGGTGGTCAGGCGGCACAAACACAGTGCAGTGTGGTGTCTCCACCAATGCCTTTCCTTGCACACACGGGCCATGGGCAGATATTTTCCAGGCTCACTTCAGATAGTCTGGGGCATGTGGCTGAATTCTAGTGGATGAGATGTTGGTCACAGTGACATATGCCTGAATCCTACAGTCTTCAACTCTTCCCCTTCAGCAACAACCAATGAGATCATGTGTCAAAATAATAGAAAAGCCGAGGACTTCCCTGGTGCCACAGGGGCTAACAATCTGCCTGCCAATATAGGAGATACGAGTTCAATCCCTGGTCTGGGAAGATCCCACATGCCTTGGAGCAACCAAGTTCACGTGCCAGAACTATTGAGTCCACATGCTGTGACTTCTGAAGCCCTCACGCCTACAGTCTGTGCTCCACAAGAGAAGCCACCTCAGTGAGAAACCTGAGCACCCAATAAAGAGGAGCCCCTGCTCACCCAACCAGAGAGAGCCTGCACAAAGCAAGGAAGAGCCAGCACAGCCATAAACAAAGTAAGGCTGACTCTCACATGGGGAGGAGCCTCTTGATCCACTCTGGGCTTTGCAAAAACAGCACACAAAAACGTATTTGCTCTGTCAAGCCATTGGGATGTTGGGACTTCTTTGTCACTGTAGCACACTTTAGCCTAAACTGACTAATCAGACTATATCCTGAGTTGAACAAACATAAAAACTGAAGAAGATTTAAGCACACTTGGTGAAATCACTTCCAAATCACATAATCCTATCATATTCACAATTATATTTTTATACATCCACTCACTGGTTTATTCAACAAATATATATTAAGTATGCATGGTATGCTAGATATTAGAGATACAAGGATGATTTCTTCTCTATTCATCAGCATTTAAATGTGCTCAAAATGTTTTTTTCCTTTTAAAAAATTTTTACTTTTGTCATTAAAAAATTAATTAATGTATTTTAACTGGAGGATAATTACTGTACAATATTGTGGTGGTTTTTGCCACACATCAACATGAATTAGCTATGCATGCACATGTGTTCCCCCATCCTGAAGCCCACCGCCCAGATGGTGTCCCTCCCCACACCATCTCTTCTGGGCTGTTCCAGAACACCGGATTTGAGTGCCCTGCTTCTTGCATCACATTTGCACTGGTCATCTATTTACATATGGTAATATACATGTTTCAATGCTATTCTCTCAAATCATCCCCCTCTCGCCTTCTCCCAATCCACACCCTCTCCAGCATTTATTGTTTGTAGACTTTTTGATGGCAAAAATATGCTCAAAAAATTTAAATAAAGACATGTGCTCAAACATCTATTAAAAGGAAACAAATGAATGTTAAAATAGTGCCTATTTTGCCCTCCTACATTGTTGGTAGGAATGTAAATTGGTAAAACCAGGATGGAGATAAGTATAGAGATTCTTTAAAAAAGCAATACTAGAACTACTATACGATTCAGCAATCCCACTCCTGAGCATGTATCCAGAGAAAGCCATACTTTGAAAAGTACAAGTTCCCCTATGTTCACTGCAGCTCTATTTACACTATCCAAGACATGAAAGCAACCTAAATGTTCATCAACAGAGGAATGGATAAAGAAAATGTGGTACATATATACAATGGAACATCATTCAGTTCATAAAAAGAATGAAATAATGCCGTTTGCAGCAACATGGTTACAACTTGAGATTATCCTACTAAATGAAGTTAAGTCAGAGAAAGACAAATATCATATGCTCTTGCTTATATGTGAAATCTAAAAACAATATACAAATGAATTTAAACACAAAAGAGAAATAGATCAACAAACAGAAAACAAACCAGGGTTACCAAAGGGGAAGTGGGGAGAAGGAAAATTAGGAAGTTTGGAATTAACATATGCACATTACTATATATGAACAGGTAAACAATAATGACCTACTGTACAGCATAGTGAACTGTATTCAATTCTTTGATATAACTTATAATGAAAAAGAATCTGAAAAATATATTCTTTTATTATATAAAAGACTTTTATATGTAAGTAAAACTTTTATATACATATAAAAGTATCCATATATACATACTTTTCCAGATTCTTTTCCATTATATATATATATGGCTGAATCTCTTTACTGTACAACTGAAGCTAACACAACACTGTAAATCAGCTACACTGCAATAAAAAATAAACAGTAGTACATCTTTTGATCTTCAAATTAAGTTAAATACTACATACTACACACACGTACTCTATATACATATGGCACCTGAGGCAGATACACACACACTACAAACCTACCAAGATGACTGCTGATATGGGTCCTAAGAAACTCAAGATAAATCCTTTCTCTATGTTGAGCCAGCAACTGAAAAACAGAAAGCAACAGTAGCAGCATTTAAAAAAAGTAATGGAATACAATAAATGATCTGCAATAGATAATATTTACATAGGATTTTTTGGGCTTCCCAGTGGCTCACTGGTAAAGAATCTGTCCTCTATGCAGGAGATGCAGGAGACGTGGGTCCAATCCCTGCATGGGGAAGAGCCTCTGGAGAAGGGTATGACCCACTCCAGTATTCTAGAGAAACCCATGGACGGAGGAGCCTGGTGGGCTACAGTCCATAGGGTCACAAAGAGTCAGGTACAACTGAAGCGACTGAGCATGCATATAGCATTTTACATGTGTCAGGTACCATTCTAATACTTGGAAGTACATAGTATTACTGTCTTTATTTTACAAGTGAGAAAACCTAGGAAAGAATTTAACTGTCCCCAGAGTCACCAGGCTAGTAAGTGAGGAACCCTGAATTTGGAACCAGGTAATCAAGTCTAGAATTCATGCTCCTTCAAGTTTATGGAAGCATTTGGTTATGACTGCAAATATTTGTAAGGAATTTGAAATGCCTATCACTTAGAGGTTAATTTTAAAAAGATTGTAAGAATACACAATGTAACATATTAAATGATGACATATAACTGTATTATTAATGTAGAAAAAGTCTACTGCATATTATTAAGGGAATAAACAAACTACATGCAGTACCTTTATCATGATCCCATTTTTATAAAAATATATGTTTACATGTATATTATATATATTGGGCTTCCCTGATAGCTCAATTGGTGAAGAATCTGCCTGCAAAGCAGGAGACCCCGGCTCAACTCCTGAGTCAGGAAGATCCCCTGGAGAAGGGATAGGCTACCCACTCAAGTGTTCTTGGGCTTCCCTTGTGGTTCAGCTGGTAAAGAATCTGCCTGCAATGTGGGAGGCCTGGGTTTGATCCCTGGGTCAGGAAGATTCCCTGGAGAAGGGAAAGGCTACCCACTCCAGTATTCTGAATAAACAAATTACATGCAGTATCTTTATCATGATCCCATTTTTATATATTTATAAGTATATTTATATATATTTAAGGAGCTTCTCAAGTGGTGCAGTTGGTAAAGAAGCCACCTGCCAAAGCAGGAGACACTGGAGACATGGGTTCAAACTCTAGGTCAGGAAGATACCTTGGAGTAGTAAATGGCAATCCGCTCCAGTATTCTTGCCTGGAAAATTCCATNTTTGAATTCTAGGTCAGGAAGATACCCTGGAGTAGCAAATGACAATCCACTCCAGTATTCTTGCCTGGAAAATTCCATGGACAGAGGAGCCAAGTGAGTCCATGGGGTTGCAGAGTCAGACGTGACTGAGTGACTAACACATACTGGGCTTAGTGGTATTACAGAGGTTCTTTATTAGAATATTATATTTTTAAAACCAGTTATTACTTTCAGTAATAGTAGTAGCAAAGATCTATAAACATGTGACATTTATAAATATAGATATTTCTATAAACAATAAAAATTCATGCTCCTTCCAGTTTACTGTCTGTGTTACTTTATACTAGTCGTTCATCTTTTTTCTCTAAACCTGTTTGCTGAGTATACAAAATGGGAACAATTGGAGCACTTTCCTCTAGGGATGTTTTGATAGAGTTGAGAAATGGTGTATATGAAACACTTCGCCCCAGGGGCTGGAGAAATAAATGTTCAGCATCTTTATTCTCAACCTGAGTCATGATCTACTCAACCCTTCCTTCCTCCCTCAGTTTCCCACGGAGACAGGTGTGTGCCCACGTCCCCGACAGCACATTTCCAGCCCCGTACTCACTGCTTAGCGGTGCCGTATCCTTGGGGGTTGATCGCGGCTGACACAGCCACAATCACCGCCGGGACCCCGTAGCCTACAGGGTACATGAACCTCTTCTTGAATCTGCCTGCGCTGGTGTAGTTGGCCACCTTGAGGTTCCTGACAGTGAGGAAGAGGTGCAGCCCTTCCAGGAACATCCAGGTGAAGGCGGCCAGGTAGAGGTAATGCAGGACACCTGCGATGACCTTGCACAGCACCTGGAGGGGAGAGGGGGGCCATTGGAGCGTTTCTGGGGGCAATGACCTCACCATCTGCTCTTCACCAGGGTTGTCTCCGGGGAACTTTGGTGAGAGATGCTCCTTAGCCTTCTTCACATGACATGTCCTTCTTCTTTTTAGAGTCATGTCTCCAAACGGATGGATGGTCCCCCTTGTCTATTCCCATGCCTTGGCCGGATGTCACTTGGGTCACCCAAGAAAAACTGAAAATGTATGTTTAAAGCTGAATGGGGGACTTCCCTGGTGGTCCAGGGCTTAAAATCCATCTGCCAGTGCAGAGGACAAGGGTTTGATCTCTTGTCTGGCAAGATTCCACAAGCCATGGGGCAACAAAGCCCAAACACCACAACTACTGAAGACCGAGCCCTAAAGCCCGTGCTCTGAAACAAGAGGAGCCATCGCAGTGAGAAGTCCAGGCACTGCAAGGAGGAGGGGCCCCCACTCGCCGCAACTAGAGAAAGCTCGCAGCAGTGCAGACTCAGCGCAGCCAAAACAGCTAACTAGCTAACTAAAGTTCAAAGAGATCTTTGCCCATCTTAAAACGGAAAAAGACAATATTCAAAGTGTGTTAAAGACTGCAGAAATCAGATAGCCCTTTGCCTGTTGGCTAATGGATGCTAGACTTCTCTTGAGTCGGATGAAACTGGTGCTGGCCAGGGCTGTCTCCAACCCAAGAACCCTTAGCCACCTCCTTGCCCCCTTTCCCCTTCTGAGGATGAAATTAATCCTCATAGAAAGCTTATGGCCAGCTTGTCCTGCCATGATCACCATCTCTTCCATCTTGGTCACTGCCCAGAACTGAAGTCACTCTGGTCTGTGTGGCATATATTTTGGGTACATGAATTAATGAATGAGTGACACTTCCAATATTCTTATCCCCATAAAGCCCCATAGTTTTCTCTTTTGAGCCAACGGCTCATGGTTTCCTCCACTATGAAAGCATCTGCTCTGAATGACATTTTCTGTAGTAAGCAAGCCCTCCCCCATCTTTCTTCAGGTTCACTGAATGTTCCCTCCATGTCTTTAGGACCACTGGAGCTTGAAAAAGTCAATTTCCCCCCTCTCTTTAGGTTGCACAGCATGGCATGTGGAATCTTAGTTACTTGACCAGGGATTGAACCCATCCTCTCTGCACTGGAATTGTGGAGTTTAACCACTGGACCACCAGGAAAATGATGTCCCCCCACCTCCATGCCTTTGATAAAAGTATAACCTGAATTTTGTTTGAGGACACTGCTTTCCACACATTTCAAGAGAACGGTGGCCACTCTCCTTTGTTTGAGGGAAATGGGTTTCTTCTACACCTCTCATGCTCTCTTCTGGACCATTGACTCTCTATTCACGATGAATAAAACCCTCCTCTCTTTGGAATCATGTCCTGAGTCTTTCCAGCAACCTCTCATTCCTTGCAAAACTCCACTCACTTTCTGGTTTCTCCCCCTCACTCCTTGAAGATGTTGTTGCATGAAACAATGCTTGATATCAAACCTTCTAACTTGGAGTCATGTCAGTGACCCTCAGAATCCATCTCCACTGTGCATCGTTCATTCAGTCTGCACAAGTTTTTAAATTGACAATTAACTGGTGAAAGGACATGAAGAAAACTCTGTGAGTTCTGGGCATGTTCTATATCTTGATCAGGGTGACAGTTTTATATCTCTGTCTCTATATCTAGGCTTCCCTGGTGGCTCAGGTGGGTAAATAACCCGACCGCCAGCCAATGCAGGAGATGTAGGTTTGATCCCTGGGTCAGGAAGATCCCCTGGAGAAGGAAATAGCAACCCACTTCAGTATTCTTGCCTGGGATATCCCGAGGAGAGAGGAGCCTGGCAGGCTGTGATCCATGGGGTTGCAAAAGAGTGAGACACAACTTAGCGACCAAACAACAACGTATCTATGTCTACAGACATAGATGATGCCAAGTTCCTCTGTCTATGGAATTTCCCAGCAACATATCTAATACACAATTTAGCCGTGAGAAAGGAGGATTCCTGCCTTCTGCAACAACACAGATGAGCCTTGAGCGCTTTATGCTCAGGAGATTGTCAAAGACAAATACTGTATAACCTCTTATCTAAAAAGAAAAATGGAATCTAAAAATCTCAGATTTGTTGAAAGAAAATATGAGTAAAAANATTCCTGAAAAAAGAAAAGAGTAAAAACCTGATTGCCAGGAGACAGAGGTAGGGGTTGCAATGATAAGGCTGATGTAATTTGTGGGTATGAATGTATAATGAGTAATAAGTTATCCGAGGGAATACACAGTTCCATGAATACACTGAAAGCCACTGACATGTACATTTAAAAAGGGCAAACTATATATGTATGGATCATACTGTTGACACTATGTATAAGATAGATAGCTAATGAGCGCCTACCATACAGCCCAGGAAACTCTCCCTAATGCACTCTGGGGACCTGAATGAGCAGGAAGCCCAGAGGGGAGGGATATATGTGTATGTGTGACTGACTCATTTTGCTGAACAACAGGAACTCGCACTACCTTGTAAAGCAACCATACTCCAATAAAAATGAAAGAAAAAGCTGTTTTATAAAAAGAAGAAGGGAATTCCCTGGCAGTCCAGTTTAGGAATTGACACTTTCACTGTTGGTGGGCTTAGGTTCAATCTTTTGTTGGGGGAGCTAACATCCTACAAGTCATGTAGCATGGCCAAAATAAAAAATAAGTAAGAAAGGGATTTGGCTAATTCTCCTACCTCGGGCTCTGTCCGTGTGATGCCTGTGAGGAAGAGGAGGTGGGCCAGGAAGAGGCAGATGGAGAGCTGCAGGTGGAGGGAGGTGCTCGTGTTCTGGATGGGTCGGCACAGGAGGAAGGTGAGGGCTGCCAGGAGGAGGCAGAGCAGGGACAGGCTCAGCCCCACGTGGGTGATCATGGTCAGCACGGGGTCCTCCTAGATGCGGCAGGAGAAAAGAGACTCCAGCTCGTTTTTGTTTTGGATGCTGTGGTTCCCAACAGGCCAATAAGCCAATTGTGGTTCCCAATAAGAACTCTCCATGCATGGTGTTAATTTCCTTGTGAGAAACTGAGCAGATCAATAGTGGCCAGACTGGACTTCCCTCATAGTCTACTGGTGAAGAATCGACCTGTCATTGCAGGGGACACGGGTTCCGTCCCTGGCGTGGGGAGATTCCACTTGCTGTAGGGCAGCTAAGCCCGCGTGCCACAACTTATGAGCCCACCTGCTGCAATTACTGAGCCTGTGTGCCGCAACTAGTGAAGCCCATGTGCCCTAAAGCCCACTGTTGGGCTCTTCTGCAACGAGAGAAGCCATCACAATGAGCAGCCTGGGCTCCACAACCAGAGAGAGCACATGTGCAGCAATGAAGATCCAGGCAGCCAAAAGTAAATAATTTTTAAAAAAGATATAGAATACTGAAATGAAACATGACTCTCATCCAAACAATAAAAAAATGATAGCCAACAAAATCGTCACTTTTCTCTGTCTCAATGGAGAGATGAGTTTGCACCGCAAAAAGGAGACATTAACTCAAATTCTTCCCAAGAGAGATGAGACATGGGAACTATTTCAATTTTAACAGAACATGGAAGGAACAGGTAGTTGTTACAGGAGTGGGTGTGAAGAAATCCACCAGAAGTTCACCAAATTCCTGAAGGCTGAATGCAGTGGTTTTGGACAACTAGGTTTCCCAGATAGAAGGGATGTTTCACTCACAAGTTCTATCCCATGAGAACATATGAAAAGAGGCTCCACGCCATTAGTCATCAGGGTCGTATAAATTAAAACCACAATGAGATGAAACTGGCGCTCATTATACAGAGTGAAGTAAGCCAGAAAGATAAAGACCAATACAGTATACTGATGCATATACATGGAATTTTGAAAGATGGTAATGATAACCCTATATACAAAACAGAAAAAGAGACACAGATGTACAGAACAGACTTTGGGGCTCTGGGAGAAGGCGAGGGTGGGATGTTAAGAGAGAACAGCATTGAAACAAGTATACTATCAAGGGTGAAACAGACCACCAGCCCAGGTTGGATGCATGAGACAAGTGCTCAGGACATTAACTCAAGTTCTTCCCAAGAGGGATGAGACAGAACTATTTCGATTTTAACAGAGCACAGAAGGAAGATGTGGTTGCTACAGGACTGCATATGAAGAAATCCACCAGAAATTCCTAAAGGCTGAGTGTAGTGGTTTTGGATGACTAGGTTTCCCAGATACAAGGGGTATTTCACTCACAAGTTCTACCCCATGAAAACATGGAAAGAGGCTCCACGCCACTAGTCATAAGGGTCGTACACATTAAAACCACAATGAGATACCACTACACACCTCCTAAGAGGGTTGTATATTTTTAACAGGAAAAAGAGAAATTTGTATTAACGTATATATAGAAAGGGTTAGTCACTCAGTCGTGTCCGCCTCTTTGTGACCCCGTGGACTATAGCCAGCCAGGCTCCTCTGTCCAAGGGATTCTCCAGGCAAGAATACTGGAGTGGGTTGCCATTTCCTTCTCCAGGGGATCTTCCTGAAAAACAGAACCGATGAATCTATTTGCAGGGCAGGAATAGAGACTCAGATGTAGAGAAAGGACTTGTGTTCACAGAGGGGAAAGGAGAAGGTGGGACCAGTTGAGACAGCAGCACTGGAACATATACACTGTGGCTTCTCAGGTAGCCCTGAAGCAAGGACATTACCATGTGTGAAATAAAGAGCTAGCTGGAAGATGCCGTATTGCACCGGGAGCTCAGCTTGGTACTCTGTGATGACTTAATAGGGGGGGATGGGGGTTCTGTAAGAGGGAGACTCAAAAGGGAAGGGAGTATATTTATATACACACACACACGCACACACACATATATATACTTATGTTGGTGTACGTATTCATGTTGGTGTACAGCAGAAACTAACATAGCATTGTAAAGCATTATTCTTGAATTTAAAAAAATGAAAAGAAAAAAGGAAGACGAGAGGAAGATACATAGCTGTTACTCTGTGAGTATTTTTTTCATCTTCTTTTTGAAGATCCCTGCCTTCCATCCCAGCACCATCCTACAGCAGAGCTGATTTTCAGGGTCATGTGTGTTTATATACATACCTTCAGCTCGACCGAGGCCATGAGGATGGCAAAGGTGGACAGATGGCTGCAACTGCACACAGTTTGAGTTCCGTTGTAAAAGATCACATGGCACCCTTCATTAGACCAGACCGGCTCATCCCAGAAGACGCAAAGAGACTTTTCGTTTTCCCCTATCATCTGGAAAGAAAATTGCTCGTTCATGAGACACTATCATTTAAAATCTGAAGTTTTTCACACATACATGCACACATACACGTATGCATGCTCACACACAATGAAATACTATTCAACCATAAAAAATGAAATAAAACCATTTGCAACACAGATAGGCCTAAAGGATATTATGCTTAGTAAATTGTCAGGCAAATAAAGACAAATACTGTTATATTATTCCCTATGTGTGGAAACTAAAAAATAAAACAAATGAATGGAATATACAAAACAGAAACAAACTCACAGACATAGGAAACAAACTTATGAAGATCAAAGTGGATAAGGAAGAGGGGAGAGACAAATTAGGACTATGGGATTAATAGATACAAACTCTTATTTATAAAAGAGATAAGCAACTACAATTTACTATATAGCACAGGAAACTATCCCCATTATTTTGTAATAACCTATAATGGAATATAATATGCAAAAATACTGAATTACCATATTGTATGAATGCGTGCATACTTAGTTGTGTCTAACCAGGATCCTCTGTCCATGGAATTTTCCAGGCAACGATACTGGAGTGAGTTAACTTTCCCTCCTCCAGGGAATCTTCCTGACCCAGGGATCAAATCCGAGCCTCCTTCGTCTCCTGCACTTGCAGGCAGATTCTTTACCACTGAGTCACCTGGGAAGCCCACTATATCGTATACTTGAAACCAACACAGCATTCTAAATCAACTATAATCCAATAAAATTTGTTATATTAAAGTTTTTGTTTTCTTGGAAAGAAAGTTATGACCAGCCTAGACAGCATATTGAAAAGCAGAGACATTACTTTGTCAANCCTAATATATAGCATGGGGAATTATATTAACTATCTTGTGAGGACAATTTTTAATGTGTTTTAAAAATCATGGGATTCAGTTTTTCTTTTTTATGGCTTTGCTGCTGCTGCTGCTAAGTCACTTCAGTCGTGTCTGACTCTGTGTGACCCCATAGACGGCAGCCCACCAGGCTCCCATCCCTGGGACTCTCCAGGCAAGAACACTAGAGTGGATTGCCATTTCCTTCTCCAGTGCATGAAAGTGAAAAGTGAAAGTGAAGTCGCTCAGTCGTACCCGACTCTTCGCGACCCCATGGACTGCAGCCCACCAGGCCCCTCCATCCATGGGATTTCCCAGGCAAGAGCACTGGAGTGGGGTGCCATTGCCTTCTCTGTCTTATGGTTTTACTGAGGTATAATTGATATACAAAGGTAAAAAATCCACCTGCTAATGCAGGAGATGCAGGAGACATGGATTCAATCCCTGGGTTGGGAGGATCCCCTGGGGTAGAAAACGGCAACCCAATCCAGTATTCTTGTCTGGAGAATCCCATGGACAGAGGAGCCTGGTGGACGAGAGTCCATGGGGTCATAAGGGTCAGACACGACTGACCACACGACACGCTACGTAAAACGTGATGAATTTGGGTATATGCAAACACCTGTGACACCATCACCACCATCACAGTAACAAAACAAACCCAACACTTCCTGAAGTTTCCTGGGTCCCTTTGTTTCTGCTTTGTTTGTTTGTTTTCGTGGTAAGAACACTGACTATGAGATCTACCCTCTTAGCAAATTTTGAAGTGCATGATACCATATTCACTATAGGCTTTGTTATATAAACTATCTTTTACTTAGAACTGGAAGACCAGAGAACGTCTTTTCAAATTCTTCTTCAATTAATTAGAGGCCCAAGTTTCTATTCTGGGGTCAGAAATGAAATCCTAATATTAAAAAAAAAAATCTTTCATCTGACTTTAAAGAAATTTTTAAATTTATTTATTTTTGGCTGTGCTGGGTCTTCACTACTTGCAGTGTTTTCTCTAGTTTCAGAGAGCAGGGCCTACTCTCTAGCTGTGGTGCACGGGCTTCTCGCTGTGATGGCTGGCTTCTCTTGTTGCTGAGCACGGGCTCTAGGGCACGTGGGTTCATCATTGCAGCCTGAAGGCTCTAGAGCGCAGACTCAGTAGTCGTGGCACACAAGCTTAGTTTCCTTGAGGCACGTGGGCTCTTCCCGGACCAGGGATCAAACCCATGTCTCCTGCATTGGCAGGTGAATTATTTGCCACGGAGCCACCAGGGAAGCTCTCATCTGACTTTTAATTTTTTAAGTTGAGTCTTTTATTTTTTCCAGCTTTATTGAGGAATACTTGACAAATATAAATGTACATACTTAAAGGATGTGACTTGATGTTCAATTTAAGAGACCTTACTGTGAACATCTTGGGCTTCCCTGGTGGCTAGGTGCTAAAGAATCTGCCTGCTAGTGCAGGAGACACGGGTTTGGTCTCTGGGTTGGGAGGATCCCCTGGAGGAGAAAGTTCCAACCCACTTCAGTGTTCTTGCCTGGAAAATCCCATGGATGGAGGAGCCTGGCTGGCTCGGGTCCATGGGATTGCAAAAAGTCACATTTTTCTGTTCATTTCCCAACAGTAAATAAGGCTATAGTTTTTTTAAAATCACTTTTTAGTCTGTTGAAGGAATAATTCCCATCATGTAATTTTTGGAGTAACTCTTAACCAAGGATTGGGTTGAATTTCAAATCTCCATTGGCAGTTCCTGATAAATCAGCCTGGGCAGAAAGAACTGACTGTAAAAGCCATACTTTTTCACTACTGGGTTTATAGGTATGATCAGTAGAAATTTCTAGGTGCTCAAAGAAGTGGATACTTTGCCTACCTGTATGTGGTGAAACGTGAAGTTCACGGGCTTGGCCAGGGAACAATTCTTCTTGCATCCTGTGGTACCACTTATCACCTTGGAATTCAGTTGAAAGTGGTCCAGCTTTTCATCGAGAGTTAGGTTTTCCTTAGACACAAAGGAGCCATCTAAGATGGACCCAAAAGACTTGTAAGAGATAAAGACCACAGCACCTGAAAGGAAGCAAAGAACCGATGAACCTGAGGAGGAGACTGGAGAATGTGTTGCCAGTTAAGGATTTATATGGCCAGTTTCTTAGGAGTCAGATATGGAATGTAAGGCTCTGAATCCTAATTTATTAGACCATACACTCTTGAAAAAATAGATGGGAGAGATTCCAAAACCTTTCCACTTGCAGGATGTTAAGGCTATGTCTGGATTCTAGTAGAGATATCCCCTCTGTCCCTAGCAGCACAGTTTACAATAGTCAAGGTATGGAAGCAACCTAAGCATCCTCCATAGATGAATGGATAAAGAAGTGGTATGTATACACAATGGAATATTACGAAACCATAAAAAGAACAAAGTCTTTCCATTTGCAGCAACCTGGATGGACCTGGAGGGTATGATGTTATGTTAGTGAAATGAGTCAGACAGAGAAAGACAAATCCCACATGATTTCACTTCTATGTGGAATCTAAAACACAAGACAAAAGAGAAACAGATTCATGGACACAGAAAATAATGTGGTGGTTTTGAGAGGAGAGAATATGAAGGGGGCACGGGAAGAAGAAGGGTGATGGGGATTAAGAGGTACCAACTTTCAGCTGCAAAATATATGTCACAAAGATGTAATTACAGACAGAGAATATAGTCAAGGATACTGTAACAATTTTGTATAGTGAGGTGATCATTCATAATGTATAAAAGCATCAGATCAGCCTGTTGTATGCCTGAAATTGAGCTTCCCTGGTAAAGAATTACTGCTCAGCAGTAAAGAATTCGCCTGCAACGCAGGAACCACAGGTGACATGGGTTCGATCCCTGGGTTGGGACGATCCCCTGGGGGAGGGCATGGAAACCCGTATTCTTGCCTTGAGAATCCCCATGGACAGAGGAGCCTGGTGGGCTAAGTTCATAGGGTGGCAAAAAGTTGGACCAACTGAAGCGACTTAGCACACAGCATGCATGAAATTAGTATAATATTGTGTATTAATTGTTAATATAACTCAATAAAAAATAAGAGTAAATTTCCCCTGCCCCCAATTCTAGAGATGTTGAGATAATTTAGGTAATTTCTATTACCTCCAGTTCCTCCTCCAGTGACAACAGTGCAGTCGATGTCCATTGTCTCCTTTTCAATCTGTAATTTAACTATCTCATTTTCTGTTTTGCAGCCATTCTTGATGGTCAGCGCTTCAATAACTAAAAAAACAGAAAATCTGCTTGAATATTGGAAATCCTTATAAACACTTATTTTATAATATAATCTCCTTGTCCATCTCACTTAAAAAATGACAAGGACTTCCCTGGTGCCTAGTGGTTAGGAATCCATGTTCCCAAAGCAAGGGGCATGGGTTTGATCCCTGGTCAGGGAACTAAGATCCCACATGCTGCATGGTGTGGCAAAAAAATAAATAAAAATTAAATTTAAAAAATGGCAACTGTAGGAGCTTCAGATGAAAACTGGATTTTTGGTGATGGAGTTGGAGTGGGCACGTAGAAGCTGTTGGCTTTATTTGGGTACCCAGTCTCTTATTGGAGGGAACAAATTCAAATACAGATAACCTCAGATACGCAGGGAAACCTGGCATGCTGCAGTACATGGGTCGCAGTTTTACAGGAAGGAGTGACTGAAATTACTTATGCAGATGACACCACTCTTAGAGCAGAAAGAAAAGAGAAACTAAACAGCCTCTTGAAGAAGGTGAAAGAGGAGAGTTAAAAAGTTGGCTTAAAACTCAACATTCAAAAAAACTAAGATCCTGGCATCTGGTCCCATCACTTCATGTAAATAGATGGGGAAGCAATGGAAACACATAAGTGTTTACTTTCTTGGGCTTCAAAATCATTGTGGACAGTGACTGCTGCTATAATATTAAAAGATGCTTGCTCCTTGGAAGAAAAGCTATGACAAAGCTAAACAGCATGTTAAGCAGAGACATTACTTCACCAGCAAAGGTCCGTATAGTCAAAACTATGGTTTTTCCAGTAGTCATGTATGGATGTGAGAGCTGGACCATAAAGAAGACTGAGCGCTGAAGAACTGGTGCTCTTGAACTGTGGTGTTGGAGAAGACTCTTGAGAGTCCCTTGGACTGCAAGGAGACCAAACCAGTCAACGCTAAAGGAAATCAGTCCTGAATATTCATCGGAAGGACTGATGCTGAAGCTGAAGCTCCAATCCTTTGGCCACCTGATGCGAAGAACCGACTCATTAGAAAAGGCCCTGATACTGGGAAAGATTCAAGGTGGGAGGAGAAGGGGGCGACAGAGGATGAGATGGTTGGATGGCATCACCGACTCAATGGACATGAGTTTGAGCAAGCTTCAGGGGACAGTGAAGGACAGGGAAGGCTGTCGCAGTCCACGGGGTCACAAAGAGCCGGACATGACTGAATGACTGAACAGCAACAACAATATGTCAGTTACTATCAATATTATGGGCTTCCCAGGTGGCTCCGTGGTAAAGAATCCACCTGCCAATGCAGGAGACGCCAGAGATGCAGATTGCATCCCTGGGTCAGGAAGATCCCTTGGTGAGGAAATGGCAACCCACTCCAGTATTCTTGCCTGGGAAATCCCATGGACAGAGGAACCTGGCAGGCTACAGTCCATGGGGTTTCAAAGGATTGGATGAGACTTTGCAACTGAAAACTAACAACAAATAAAATAGATAACTAATGAGAATCTACTTTCTAGCACAGGGGACTCTACTCAGTGCCCTGTGGTGACTAAATGGGAAGGAAATAGGGAAAAAAAAAGAGGATATGTAGCTGATTCACCTTGCTGTATAGTTGAAATTTACATAACACTGTAAGGCAATCATACTTCAACAAAAGTTAATTAAAAAAAGAATCATAAGACATCTTCTTTCTTCCCTTCATCTCTCCATACTCACTCTTCTGCCTCTTTTGTTTTGAATAAGCTAAGTATTTTCATCATGTACATATTAATCAACTTCAGCACCAAACTTTCTCTTTCTCTCAAACTCCACATGCACCCTGGCAACAAATCCAGACCTTTTGCTGAAAAGGCACCAGCCTTGGTGTGAATCTGATTTGGGGCACTGACTTCATCTGGTCCACCAGTAGATCTCTCTTGGCTCATCCCAATCATCTAACTGCATTCATTCATTGTTCCCCCAGAGCAGCCAGTGGGATCCTTTCAAAATGTGAATCAGATAGGGTCTCTCTGAATAAAATTCAGAGTTGTTACAATTCCCAGGAAGACCCTGCTTGACCTTGCCTTGCATCAGTTCCTTGACCAGTCACCTTCAGTCACTCTGCAAATATCTCCAACACACCAGGAATGCTCACCTCAAACCCTCTGCCCAGGATCATTCTCCCCAAGATATGCACGCAGCTCACGCCTTCTTCTTCAAGTCTTCTCACAAATCTTGCCTTATCTCCAAGCCTACTCTATTTACTCTAATTAGCATCACAAACTGCTTCCCTGACATTTGCTGTGTCCCTCACCTCCTCTCTAAGACAGACAAGTTTGATTACATCAAAATTTAAAACATCTCCACTCAAACATCCTTTCAACAAACCACAGATTGGCAGAAGATATTTAGAGACATAAATGAGGTCCATAATATGTAAAGAGCTCCTAAATATCAATAAGATTAAAAATCAAAAACACAATGGACAAAGAGCAAAAGGATAAGGGGAAATGGACAAAAAATACATATCAGAAGAATCAAAAAAAAAGAAACCTAATGGCCAGAATAAAATAGAGACATCTAATCCACTAGTAATCAGTGATATGCAAATAAAAGGATAGTGAGATATCATTGCATGATGTCAGCAGGGAAAAAGAGCCTGAAAACTTAGAGGTTGTGAGGGGGACAACTACACTTCAACAAAATAATTTTTTAAAGTGGAATTTTATCCTCTAATTGATGACAACACCACAGCTTTTCTGTTCATATATTCATTCATTCATTTGACAATTAGTAAATACTTCTAGGGTGCTTCTCTGATGGCTCATCGGGTAAAGAATTCACCTACAATGCAGGAGACACAGGAAATTTGGGTTCAATGAGTCAGGAAGATCCTCTGGAGGAGGAAATGGCACCCCACTATAGTATTCTTACTTGGGGAATTTCAGGGACCCAGGAGCCTGGCAGGCTATAGTCCACAGAGTCACAAAGAGTATGACATGGCTTAGTGGCTAAGTATACAGCACAAATCCTTCTAGGTATCAGACACTTTACTAGGTGCTCTTTATGCTCAGGGAAGCCTCATTAATTCTAAGAGTAAAGACTGCTTTATCCTTCAGTGTATCCTTGATAAAGATTTGTACATAAGAACCCCAAGGTGACTCTTGGATTAAAAGTGACAGTACACACAGCCACAAAAGATTCACTTTAAAAATAGGTTAGACTTGAAAGATGAATGGATGGTCCAGTCAAATGAACTTTCAAGCCTCATCCAATGCAAACTTAGGGTTCTGAAGAGAAATAAGATATTTCATGTCAAGTACATACACAGATATTGCCAGTGTAAAGAAAGAGAAAGCTGTTTTCTGCCAACGAAATTGTATCTCAACCAGCATTTCCTGAACCCAATTAAGTTTGAAAGTCTGCCTGAGCATCTATGACCACAGCTTACCCATAAATTGTGACTCTCTCCTCAGCGTTCCTTCTGTGGGCCGATTGAGGGCAGCTTCATAGGCTGCCGACTGCACCGTGTGAAGATACTGTGTCGCAAAACGGGCAGTTTCTTCCTTGTGTTCCTGAGATGGCTTGCTGGTGATGTTGCTGAAGTTGCCAAAAGAATCGGCTATTTCCTGCCATACAAATAGTGAGTGTGCAGATGTAGAGAAAAGATGTGTGGTTGCCAAGAGGGAGAGGGGCAGGAGAGAGACGGGCTGGGAGTTTGGGATTAGCAGATGCAAGCTATAATACAAAGGATGGATAAAAACAAGGTCCTACTGTATAGCACAGGAAACTATACTCAACATTCTACAATACCTCTATGGGAAAAGGAGCTGTAAAAGAATGACTATATACATATATAACTGAATGTATTTGCAGCACACCTGAAACTAGCAGCATTGTCAATTAACTCTACTCCAATACAATTTTTAAACAAGAATAACATACTTAGGAATAAACAAAAAAAATAAATAAAATATAATAATAATAATATTAATAATAATAATAAACAAAAAATAGAGTATGATACACCAATAAAAATTTTTTAAAAAGAATGAAATATGAATAAACAAAAAAATAATGGATGTGAAAATGACTATTGTCTAGGAGGAAATCATAAAAGGAAACTAAGATTACAGTTTCTATTTTCCAGATATTTCTTGAAAGCTTCCATAACTATGAGCTTTCTCTGGGAGTATTTCCATTGCCTAATAGCAGAAGAAGGGAACAGTGTAGGGAAAAGACGCGAATGTTTAAACAAAGCAGGAAGAAACTCAGACCTTACACTGTCACTTCATTCCATTGTGGAGTAATTGAATATTTTTAATTCACTGGTCCTAGATTTTGCATCACCTTCTACCTGGTTTCCTGGGTGGAGACGATCCCCTGGAGGAGGAAATGGCAACCTACTCCAGTATTCCTGCCTAGAAAATCCCATGGACAGAGGAGCTTGGAGGGTTACAGTCTGTGGGGTTGGCAAGAGTCGGACACGACTGAGCGACTGAGAACGCACTCATGCTACCTGGTTTCACCTTTGCTTTTCTGCTAGATCCCCCTGCCTCTGTACTCTCTCTTACAGCTTTTTAGTATACCTCTGAAGAAACAGTAAGTTGTCATCCAATATGGGAAAATGTTTATTTTTCAGAAAAGTAGGAAGGGAGAGACCTCTGTGTCCAATAGAAATAAGGTTAAAAATCTACACGTGCGGTTTGGATTTCTCCTGTGATGTGGAGACCCAGAAAGGAAAAACAATTTGTCCCACCTAACTTATAATTAATTCCTTCAGGCATATTGGAGGAAGAAGAAGATGGAGAATTATCTACTGTGAGAAAACATTCACAGAAACTGGGAATGATCTCAAACCTGTAACACAAGTGTGACATTGTCATCTTCTGGTACTCCTTCTGTCACCATGGTAACAGAGCTCATCCTCTTGTCATTTGGGTCCTTGGTGGTATTCTAAAAGGAAAGAATAGAAGCATATAATTGGCTTTCATTCAGTTAGAAGCATCCAGAGGTTGTTCTCAAGTTCTCAGAAGCTTTATTAAAACAGTTGGTCCTGGCAGAGAAATACTCTGACATATCTGTGAATATAAGACTGCAAAATTAAACACACTTGTTGGAGTTTAACACACACACACACACACACAATGTAAATAAAGTTCAATACATTGTTTTGGGACTAGTGGGTATCTATTTGAAAAGATTGAATCAGTTCAACACCCACCTCATTATTCTCAAAAATAATTTCTAGAGAGCTTACCTGTCAAAAATGCCTAAATATTCCCAACTATTAAGTTAATCTTTTTTTTTCCCCACTGAGAAAATTAAAATTGGAGGAGGGGCAATTTAAATATATCAACTTTGGGGGATGGAAGTAAAACAATCAAATGCCATTCATAATAGTCAAAATATTAAAATTTATTTCTATTTTGTATAATATATTTTATATAAAATCTTTAGTTCTATATAACCTTTGTGTATAACAGATAATGATGTAGACATACATATCTTTCCACTCTCCATTTTAATAAAAACAATTTTCATAGCACATTTACCTTTATTCTTTTTCTGCCAGCTTTATTTATTCTCCTCCTACTCTATTGTTTTTTCTGGTTTGTGTGTGTGTAATTCCTTTCTTTAAAAATTAATTAATTACTTTTAATTGGAGTATACAATATTGCAGGGGCTTTGCCATACATCAACATAAGTCAGCCATTGGTGTACATGTGTCTGCCAATCCTAAATCCGCCCTCCCGCGTCCCTCCCCACCCCATCCTTCTGCATTGTCCCAGAGCACCGGCTCTGAGTGCCCCGCTTCATCCACTGACCTTGCACTGTTCATCTATTTTACATATGATAATATACACATTTCAATGCAATTCTCTCAAATCATCCCGCCCTCACCTTCTCCCACATAGTCTAAGTGTCTGTTCTTTACATCTGTGTCTCTTTTGCTGTCTTGCATATAGGGTCATCATTACCATCTTTCTAAATTACATATATATGCATTAATATTCTATATTGGTGTTTCTCTTTCTGACTTACCTCACTCTGTATAACAGCCTCCAGCTTCATCCACCTCATTGAATTGACTCAAAAGTGTTCTTTTTTATAGCTAAATAATATTCCATTTACCTTTATTTTTGACTGCGACTAGAGACAGTCTGTTTTCCAAAAGTGCACTTTAACTTATATGGCGTAGAAGGCAGGTTTTTCAAGTCCTATAAGTTCTATATGACACTGGACAATTTAGATCAAACTACAAATAACTTTTAATGAAACAAAGGACTGAATTTTGAAAATTCATCTTATAGGTGTAATATTGATTTCCATATTGTCTCAGTGTAACATACGTTTGTTTTGTAAGTCACTTTTGAAAGATTCCTTTGCAATAACATACAGCACTTGCAACAGTGAAATTATATCAACCATAATGATGGTTAAATTGAGGGGGTGTGGGTGCTTACTGCTTTAAAAAAAGTAACTTGGCCATGCCATTTAGCATGCGAAACCTTAGCTCCGTGACCAGGGATTGGAAGCTTGGAATCTTAACCATTGGACCCCCAGGGAAGTCCCAGATGGTTTATTTTTTTATAATTAATTCTGTACAGAACTAGGTTGACTGAGAACACTTCATGGCTGCCATATATTCTCCAAACAATACACTGTTGTTCAGAAAGAAAGCAATCGATAAAACAAAATATGGAAGAAATAGGAGAGGATGCAAAAATATTAATATCAAGAAACACCTTTTTATCCCGAGAGACCATTATGTGTATGTGCGCTGGAAGGTGTACCCTTGTTTTATATTTTATATTTAGGCATACTCCCTCTAGACAGTATTTTATTTGTAATTACTGTTTATTTCCACATACTGGTGGTGGGCACCAAACACAAATTTACAGAGATGGAAACATACCTGTTGTCTATAGGCTTCCGTAAATGTAACTTGGGTTGGGACCGAGGACCTAGGGTTGATTCCTAGAAATAGAATGAGAATTCAAAAAGAAAAAGAAAAACAGAAATGTTTCTTCCCAGTCTGAAATTGGAAAAATTTCCCTCCCAACTTTTCCTTTTCCAACTTCCTGCCAGCTTTCTTTACAAAAAGGATTATGGGATTTCTGCTTCTCGGTCATGCCTGGAGGTTGTCATGCCTGCTACCCAACTGAAGCGCTTGTGTGTATATGTGTGTGTTCGTGTGTGTGTTAGTCACTCATTCATATCTGAGTCTTTGTGCCCCCACGGACTGTAGCCCACCAGACTCCTCTGTCCATAGAATTCTCCAGGCAAGAATACTGGATTGCCATTCCCTTCTCCAGGGTATCTTCCCCAGGGATCAAACCTGGGTCTCCTGCATTGCAGACAGATTGAGTAACCAGGGAAGCCCAATATTGAAGTATAGTTTATTTATAATACTGTATTAGTTTCAGGTGTATAACATAGTGATTCAATATTTTTATATAGATTGTACCCCACTTAAAATGATCACAAAGTAATGGGTATACTTCCCTCTGCTATATAATATATCCTTGTTGCTTATTTATTTTATACACACTTGTTTGTGCCTCTTAATTCTATTCACCTATCTTGCCCCTCCCCCTACTTCTCCCCACTGGTAGCCACTAGCTTGTTCTCTATATCTGTGAGTCTGTTTCTGTTTTGTAATATATCTATTTGTTTTATTTCTTAGCATCCACATGTAAGTAATATCATACAGTATTTGTCTTTGTCTGACTTATTTCACTAAGCATAATACTCTCTAGTCCATATCGTTGCAAATGTCAGAATTTCATTCTTTTTTATGACTGAGTAGTATTCCGTTCTGCATATATCTATATCTATCTGTCTGTTTCTATATCTCACATCTTCTTTATCCATTTATCTGTTTATGGACACAGATTGTTTCTGTATCTTGGCTATTGTAAACACTACTGCTATGAACATTGGGATGAACGTATCTTTTCAAATCAATCTTTTTGTTTTCTTCAGATATATACCCAGGAGTGGAATTGCTGGATCATATCACAGTTCTATGTTTAGTATTTTGAGGAAACTCCGTGTTGTTTTCCATAAAGTGAAAGTGAAGTTGCTCAGTCGTGTCTGCCTCTTTGCGACCTTGTGGACTGTAGCCTGCCAGGCTTCTCCTCTGTCCATGGGATTTTCCAGGTAAGAATACTGGAGTGGACTACCATTTTCTTCTCCAGGGGATATGCCTGATGCAGGGATTGAACTCAGGTCTCCCACATTGCAGGCAGACTCTTTACCCTCTGAGCCACCAGGGAATCCCTTGCTTTCCATAGTGACTACACAAATTCCACCGACAATTTCCAAGGGTTTCCTTTACTTCACATCCTCTCCAACACTTGTTTGTAGACTTTCTGATGATAGCCATTCTGACAGGTATGAGGTGTTACTTCATTGTGGTTTTGATTTGCATTGCTCTGATGATCAGCAATGTTAAACATCTTTTCATGTGCTTGTTGGCCATCTGTATTTCTTCTTTGGAAAAATGTCTATTCAAGGCTTTTGCTGAGGGATACTAATCCCTAATCCATCTTATCATTTGTAAATATTTTCTCCTATTATGTGGGTTATCTTTTCAGTTTTTTTAAAATTTTTAATTTTATATCAGAGTATAGCGGATTAACAGTGTTGTATTAGTTTCAGGAGTGCAGCAAAGTTAACTATATATGTATATGTGTATATATATATATATGTCTCTATTCTTTTATAAAATAATTTGTCTTTTCGTTTTTTAATTGAGTTGTCCTAAGTTTCAATATTTCAATAGAAGTCAGAAAGACAAGTTAAAATACAAGTAAATTGGCAACCACCAGGGGGAGTCTTTTGTGTTACCTTAACAGGAGCTGCACATTTGGAACGCATCTCTGCTCAGTAGTAAAGAATTGCCTGCCAAAGCAGGAAACGCAGGAGACCTGGACTCGAACCCTGGATTGGGAAGATCCCCTAGAGGAGGCCATATCAATCCAGTCCAGTATTCTTGCCTGGAGAATCCCATGGACAGAGGAGCCTGGGGGGCTATAATCCATAGGGTCGCAAAGATGAGAACATGATTGAAGTGACTGAGCACTCATAAACATGTGTGCACACATACATGTTACGCACACATAAACACAGATAAACAGCTATATCAAAGGACAGTGTTTAATGCTGAGGAACTGAGGGGTTATTAGCATTCAAAGTCAGACCCATACTGATGCATTGCTTTCCTTCACTTGTTTACCTCAACTCTTTCTCTCAGAAAATTTTCACCCAAAGGCATCAGAGAATCTGCTTACTTATGCAAGTTCCCCCGGAGCCAGTAAATTCAGTTCTCCCATCAGCCGTCTCAAACCCAGGATCGCAGACACATAAGTAGCTTCCCCGGGTGTTCTTACACCTGGCTGTCGGTGAACACAGTGCGGGGTTCAGGCATTCATTCTTATCTGCGGCAGGAAAAGGATGAAAAGCAAATCAGTCAGTGACAGGGCTCCACGGGGTCACTCAAGGCTCCATGAGTTCAAGTCTTCATGCCACGCCTGTGCATGTCCACTGCACACAGGTCACAGTCTGTGCATTTCAAGGCACTCGCCTTGGTTTGCTCAAGACTGTCTCAATATACAGCTGAAAGTTTTGCCTCTAGAAATCCACTGAGTGCCAACCCAACCGAGATGGTCAGCCAGTGTCAGAGCAGTGAACAGGATTACTCATATCTACTTTCCATTTTTAAATTAATTTTTATTGGAGTATACAAAGCATTTTTTTTTCTAGTGTTGGAGCCCATCCATGAGGATGATGACAGGAAGGTAGATTCTTCACTGTCTGAGTTAGCAGGGAAGCCCTAATACCATGTTAATGAAGGGTGACTACCAGCAGGGAAAATTAAAGAGTGGAATAATCAGTTAGATGAGATGGTTAGATAGCATCACTGACTCAACAGACATGAATCTGAGCAAACTCTGGGTGATAGTTAAAGACAGGGAAGCCTGGTGTGCTGCAGTCCATGGGGTTGCAAAGAGTTGGACACAACTTAGTGACTGAAAAACAATAATAAATACTTCAAAAAAATTTTTTTACTTAAAAAAATAGTTTAATATGGGCTTCCCTGGTGGCTCAGACTGTAGTGAATCTGCTTGCAGTGTGGAAGACCCAGGTTCAATCTCTGGGTTGGGAATATCCCTTGGAGAAGGAAATGTCAACCCATTCTAGTATTCTTGCCTGGGTAATCCCATGGACAGAGGAGCCTGGTGGGCTATAGTCCATGGTGCTGCAGATTTGAACATGAATGAGCGACTAACACTAATTAACATACATATTTATTTATTGTTTAAAAAACAGTAGAAGGAACAGAGAATGATGAGTAGATTTTTAAAATATAAGTTTAGAAAATATGTCTCAGAGGAAGTGACAAAGCGTAAGAGAATATGAAAACACCATACAAGAAATTCCCAAAGGAAACAGTGAGGTAAGATTTAGAAAACAGATGGAATTCATTGGGCTTCCATGTGGTGCTAGTGGTAAAGAATCTACCTGCCAAGGCAGGAGACACAAGAGATGTGGGTTTGATCCCTGGGTTAGGAAGATCCCTTGGGGGAGGAAAATGGCAATCCACTTCAGTATTCTTGCCTGGAAAGTCTCATGGGCAAGAGGAGCCTGGTGGGCTATAGTCCATGGGGTCAGGATGTGACTGAGTAACTGAGCATACACAGAACTCTTCTGTGTAGAAAACAGTGGAAGAACTGATGACTTTACGATGAGTCCACATTTTCCGTGCCTTGATCACAGTTGGTATTCTTACGTTCCTAGTCTACAAGCAATACATTCTGAAGAGGGTGTGGAGAGAAGGGAACCCTCCTACATTGTTGGTAGGAATGTAAATTGATACAGCCACTATGGAAAACAGTGTGGAGTACTCAAAAAAATAAAAATAGAGTTATATGATTCCATAATCCTACTCCTGAGAAAATTTCTCTCTACTTAAAAAATAAGTATACAAACAGCTTTTTAAAATGAGTTGATTTCTCCATTTGAAAAAATCAGGAGCAACACTTGAAAAATCACTAGTGTGTTTTAGAAGTTAAGTTCTTATAAAACACTTTCTAAAAACTACTTTCTAAACCGAAGATCTGTTTCCCCATAGATAATATACATGTTTCGACGTTGTTCTCTCAAAACATCCCACCCTCGAAGAAATAACATGTTAGGACACATATGAAAACAAATTCCCAGGCACAAATCTTTATAACCTTTTCATTAATTTTTTGCTATAAACACAAATGTAAGTGCTAACCATTTTTTGAAACCCCAAAATGCAAAATGGTAGTAAAAAACAAATTTGTGTGAACTCTATTTTTTTTTTTAGTGTATTAGGAAACTTGCTCCTTGGAAGGAAAGCTATGACAAATCTAGACAGCATATTAAAAAGCAGAGACATCATTTTGCCAATGCCAACAAAGGTCTGTATAGTCAAAGCTATGATTTTTCCAGTAGTCATATATGGATATGAGAGTTGGACCATGAAGAATGCTGTGCACTGAAGAATTGGTGTCTTTGAATTGTGACACTGGAGAAGACTCTTGAGAGTCCCTTGGACTGCAAGGAGATCAAATCAATCAACTCTAAAGGAAATCAGTCCTGAATATTCATTGGAAGGACTGATGCTAAAGCTGAAGCTCCAATACTTTGGCCAACTGAAGCGAAAAGCTAACTCATTGGAAAAGACCCTGATGCTGGGAAATGATGAAGGCCAAAGAAGAAGAAGGCAGCAGAGGATGAGACAGTTAGATAGCATTACCAACTCAACGCACACGAATTTGAGCAAACTCTGGGAGATACTGAAGGATAGGGAAGCCTGGCATGCTGCAGTCCATGGGGTCGCGAAGAGTAAGACATGACTTAGCAACTGAACAACATCTCCAAATGAGAAAAACTCATTAGGCTACACATGTCTGCCAACCCCTTATTAATATGGACTTTAAAATATTCCAAATTGAGGACAAACCCCTTTTATACATCCCTGGTAACATTCCTTCTTACTTAATACTTAGATCAAAGACTATGTTGTCTAAGCAAAAAGATCCTTGAGCTAAAGAATTTAAGGGCTCTTTAATGCTATTCAACAAAAAATTGTTTTCCATGCTTAACATGTAGGTCTCTACTATCAAAGCCATTGACTTGATGAGTTATTCCCCAAATTTCTCAATATCCAATATCTCAATATGAGGGATAAATAGACCTACTTTTTTCTAGAATGTTCTTACCTAAGTAACACTCACCTTCGCACGTCACTCTGGGACCATTAAAACGTATCTTCCCGTTGCTTGATTCATATCCAGATTTACAGGTGCAGAAGTAGCTTTCCACAGTGTCAGTGCAGGTGGCTTTCGAAGGGCAGGCCTGGGTATCCAGGCATTCATTCACATCTGTGACTAAGGATCCATAAAGGTCAAATGAGTGAGTTCAGGCCATGTCACTATCCTATCATGCAGGCATTCAGTCCACTACAGAGTACTCCTTAGGTCCCCAGCACCTGGTTTACCATTCTCTTACCCACCTGTTAGTGAAAGCACTCAAGGTCCTGGTTCCACAGAGCTTATATTTTTATGAGGGGACAAGGGAACAATTTATCCCATATGGAAAGGATTGCAAATAGATATAAGAAGCCAGATTGAGGGCAAGAGGAGAAGGCGATGACAGAAAAGGGGGTGACAGAGAATGAGATGGTTGGATGACATCACCAACTCAATGGACATGAGTCTGAGCAAACTCCAGGAGATGGTGAAGGACAGGGAAGTCTGGTGTGCTGCAGTCCATGGGCCACAAACAGTTGGACATGACTTAGCGACTGAACAACCACCGGAAGAAGCCCGAGGTGGGACAAATTAAGAAAGTAGCATTGGAACATACATTACCATATGTAAAATTAGATAGCCAGTGAAAATTTTACTGTATGAAGCATGAAGCTCAAACCCAGTGCTCTGTGACAACCTAAAGGGGTGGGATGGGGTGGGAGGTGGGAGGGAGGTTCAAGAGGGAGAGGGCATATGTACAACCATGAGTGTGAGCAAGCTTCGGGAGTTGGTGATGAACAGGGAAGCCTGGCATATTGCAGTCCATGGGGTCTCAAAGAATTGGACACTGAGCGACTGAACTGAACTGATAGCTGATTCATATTGATGTATGGCAGAAACTAACACAATATTATAAGGTAATTATCCTCCAATTAAAAAAAAATTTGAAAAAAAGAAGCCAGAGGCTCAGAGAGGGTCAGGAAGAGAAATTCTGTAGGATGATCAGGGCAAATGTGGCTGAGATGACTAAGTATGAGAAAGTCTAGCAGAAGGTGGGGTTTTTTTTTTTTTTTCTTTTTTGGCCCTGCCACATGGCATGTGTGATCTTAGTTCTCCAACCAGAGATTGAACCCGGGTCCTTTGTGTTGAAAGTGTGGCGTCTTAACCACTGGACAGCCAGGGAAGTCTCTAGCAGAAGGCTTTCTAGAGCAGTGGGACAAGTCATGAGATGGAGACCATCTTGGCATGGAACGGTAGACAGGAGTGAACAGGGAGACAGACTGATCATTCCTGAGTTCAAAATGTAATCTTAGGGGCTTCCCTGGTGGCTCAGTGGTAAAGAATCCACCTGCCAGTTCAGGCGACATGGGTTCGATTCCTGGTCCAGGAAGATCCCACACGCCTTGGAGCAACTGAGCCCATTTGCCACAACTACAGAGCCCATGTGCTGCAAGTACTGAAGCCTAAGTGCCCTAGAATCCATGCTCCATAACAAAAGAGGCCACCACAATGAGAAGCCTTCACACCACAGCTAGAGAGTAGCCTCTACTCTCCAAAACTAGAGAAAAGCCCGTGCGGCATCAAAGACCCAGGATAGCCAAAAAGAAAATTTTAAAAATGTAATCTTAAAAACTTAATGTCTCACAGCCATCTCCCACTAAATATTCATGAAGATAATACTTCCTTACTATTTTTTCTTATTGATCAGGAGGCCACAGCATGCGGGACCTTAGTTTCCAGAGTAGGGATCAAATCCATGCCCCTTGCAGTGAAAACATAGAGATAACCATTGGACCACCAGGCAAGCCTCATGATTTTTAATTTGCAGTTTCCCAGGATAGATTGCATTTTCTTAATTTTTTGCTTTCATTTTATCATTTACAAAATGAAGAAAATAATTCTATATATTTGGTCATCCTATGATCCTGTGATTCCTCTTAGAGAAATTCCCCCAAGAAAAATGAGAACATATGTCCACAGAAAGACTTGTACATGAAGTCTTTGTTCAATAGGCTTCACAGCAGCCCTCTTCATCATAGTCAACCATCAGAAAATCAGGAGTCCATCAACAGGAAAATGGATTGATAAACTGTGGAATATTAACAAAATGGAATGCTATGTCTGATTGACAGGAGATATTCAGGATGTATTAGGTGAAATAAAAGCATATTGTAAAACACGTAAACTGTGACTGCATTTGTAAATAATACATACATAGTCATAACTGCATTTATCAAATCTTGGTCTGTGTCTATATCTATTTACCTATTTATGTATGTAAATGCATGTTTATATTTATGTACATACTATTTAACATACATAGGCTATTTGCACAAAGAACCCACAAAAATTATATGGAAATAATAAAAGATGATCACTCTTTTTACTGTGACTCATGTGTTTAAATATACACATATTTACTTATTTATGTATATATATTATATATTTATAATTGTCTATACCTGTGTATGTATATATACTTAAATATACACCTATTTGTCTATATTTATATTAATATGTACTTTTAAAATAACTATATAAATAAGTAAATAGGTACAACATTCTCAGTCACTCAGCCATGTCCAACTCTTTGCAACCCTATGGACTGTAGCCCACTAGGCTACCCTGTCCATGGGATTCTCCAGGCAAGAATACTGGAGTGGGGTGCCATTTCCTACTCCAGGGGATCTTCCCAACCCAGGGATCAAGTCTGTGTCTCCTGCACTGCAGGCAGATTCTTTACCACTGAGCCATCAGGGAAGCCCATAAATAGGTGTGTGTGTGTGTGTGTGTGTGTGTGTGTATTTAAATATAAAAATAAATATATATTTTATATATAGGTAAATAAGTACATATAGGTGTATGTGTATATATATGTACACACATGTATATAGGCATAGCTTTATAGAAATATATTAGCATAGGTGTATATTTATTTATGGATATATGTAGGTAAAGAGCATATATATATATATATATATATACCATGATAAAAATAGGGCTTCCCCAGTGTGATGTGCTCAGTTGCTTAGTGATGTCCAACTGTTTGCAATCCTATGGATTGTGGCTCAGTGTTAAAGAATCCGCCTGCAATGAAGAAGCCACAGGAGACACAGGTTCGATCCCTGGGTCAGGAAGATCACCTGGAGAAGGGCATGGCAACCCATTCCAATATTCTTAGCTGGAGAGTCCCATGGACAGAGGAGCCTGGCAGTTTACAATCCATAGGGTTTCTCAAAGAGTCGGACACAACTGAAGAGACTTAGCACGCACACATAATAAACAGAGTAGTTTTCTCTTTATTATTTCTGTATAATTGTTCTCCTGACTTTTGTGGATTCTTTGTGTAAATAGCCTCAGTTACACAGTAAGAATGAGCCAATAAAGCTATTTCAAGTGTCATAAATATAGCGTGGTAGGAAAAACTGTGAAGGCTAGAATTACTTGGAGAGTCACACGAGTGTGAGCAAATGCTTACCATTTCCATGTTTCTCTTTTTAAGTCCGAATTTGGGGAGAGCAAAAGTTGTTCTGCTTATCCCCAAACTGCTTTGTAAAGAAACATCTATGGGGACTTCCCTGGTGGTCCCATGGTTAAGATTCCACCTCCCAGTGCAGGAGCCATGGGTTCAATCCCGGGTCAGGGAACTCGGGTCCCATATGCCTCGGGGTGCGGTTCAAAAAGAAAAAGAAAAAAAGAAAAAACAACAGCAGCAAAAGAGAAACATCTGTAGAAACACAGGCTACACAAACTATTCCAGATTCATCCTGCCCATCACCCACATACCTTGAAATGATGAGTTAGGAATATTCAGAAAGAAAATTAAGCAGGAAAGTCCTGGGGGAGAAAACAAAAGAGGAGTTTAATTTTTTAAACACTTTCTGGTGGCCTGAATCTGTTGAGGCTGGCTTTAATTTCCTTCCCCAAAATAGCTCTTGAATAGTTTCTCTAAACACATTGAACACATTCAACACAATTTTGGCCCTCTAGAGACTGTTTGGTTGTTGAGAGCTAAAAGTCAGTTGATCATGGTCAAAAAACATTCACAGATTCATAAAAATATTTTTGAGATGTCAAGGATAAAAACAGATGAAACAGAAAAATTTAGAAAGCTGAATAATACTGACAAATAAATATTTACCTTAATGCCGTTTATAAGTATATGAAAGAAAGCAAAGTAAAAGTGTTAGTTGCTCAGTCTTCAAGTTAGTTGCGACCTCAAGGACTATAGCCCACCAGGTTCTTCTGTCCAGGGGATTTTCCAGGCAAGAATACTGAAGAGGATTGTCATTTCCTTCTCCAGGGGATTGTCATGACCCAGGGATCAAACCTGGGCCGCCTGAATTGCAGGCAGATTCTTTACCATCTGAGCCACCAAGGAAGACCCTATATACTTATATAGGTAGCAAAATGTGGCTTCATCAATTGTTGAATTTAACATTCATTAGCAGTTTATTCTATCTGCAAAGAAAACAGAAGTTAGGTTCTCTCACTGGACATGTGTTTCATAAAAGTCAAATGAGTTGGGGAATTCCCTGGTCATTCAGTGGTTAGGATTCTGCGCTTTTGCTACTGAGGGGTTGGATTGGATTCCTGGTCTAGGAACTAAGATCCTGTGTTTCCCAGTGTGGCTAAAAAAAGAAAGTCACAGGACTTGGACAATTAGATGAGTTTATCATGGGCAAGTAAATTAAAAAAATATAATTCTAGAAGTCCTCTTGGTAGTAAAACAAAAACAACAAACACATAGCATGGGATGAGGAACAATTTAATATGTTTTATAAGATACATGTTGGGGCTTCCAAAATTAGGAGCAGGAAGCAAATGTGATTCCTCTGAAACAAGAAAGATACTCATCAATTTTTAGTCCCCATCAAGGTACGTTCATACTGAAAGAGCAACATTGCAATTTTACAATCAATTTGCATGCTCAGTAAATTTACAAGCAATTTGCATGCTCTGAGTGGTCAGCTCAGAGACTTAGAGGACCCAAGTCTGGACATTCTGGCTCACTAAGCAAATAGATCTGAAAGAATCCAACTCAGTTTCAGGAAGGAAAATGAGCATGGGACAGCTTTCCATGCCAAAAACCTGGCCCTGACACGAAAGAATCCATTCTTACATGAGATTCATGTTTTGTAAGCGCTTCCCAGTTGGCTCAGTGGTAAAGAATCTGCCTGCCAATGCAGGAGTTGCAGGAGGCGAGGTGGCAAAGATCTCCTGGAGAAGGAAATGGCAACCCGCTCCAGTATTCTTGCCTGGAAAATCCAGGGGACTGTAGCCCACCAGGCTCCTCTGTCCATGAGGTTGCAAAGAGTAGGACATGACGGAGCACAACACAACCACCACCCCAGAAGCTCCATTTGACCCTATCCTTGTATGGCGGAATGTAAGAGATCGCAAGCTTTGAAGAGCCCCATTGCCTGATGAAATCATTTTGAAGTGCCCCATCTTAATTCCTCCAGGTATTTCCATAGGAGACACACCTCAGCCATGGTTTTAAAGAACAAACCAAGTGAATGCCTTCTGCCCAAGCCACAACGTTGAAAACAAGATAGAGTATGAGAGTTGAAGTGTCCTTCCTATTTCTACTTATCGAGAATAAAATATATTTTTAAAATTTTTTATTGTTTATTTTTGTAAATTACTTTTAATTGGAGGATGATTGCGTTACAATGTTGTGTTGGCTTCTGCCATATAACAACGTGAGTCAGCTGTAAGTATACATATGTCACCTCTTGAACTTCGCCCCCACTGCCCCCCACCCCAGTCTACCACTCAAACTTGCCACAGCGCACTAAGTTGCACTTTCTGTGTTACACAGCGTCTCCCCACTAGCTATCTATTTTACACAGGATAATGCATATTTTTCAATGCTATTTCTCAATTTGTCTCACCTACTTCTGGCCTTCCCGCCCCCCACCTTCCCCTGTGTCCACAAGCCCATTCTCTTCGCCTGTGTCTATTCTTGACCTGCGAATAGATTCATCAGAACCTTTTTTCTAGATTCCAAATACATGCATTAATATACAATAACTGTTTTCCTTAAGAGAGAATAAAATATTTTAATGACTTACCTCTCAAAGGCAAAAAGAGACTTCGAGCCATCAGGACAAAATGAAAGCAGAAATAGGAATTTATATGTCTTTATCTCTGGTGTTTCTCAAGGAGAGTTGGGGATTTTGTAACAGCTACTGTGGGACCATCTTCTAGTATTCTAATGAGAAACTAAAGAGAACAGCAGGTTTTTTTTTTTTTTTTTAAATACAGAAACAGAGACCGTCAACTGAAGGCTGCAACTTACTCTGAAATGCATTTTAAAAAATTAGATGAATGTCAGAAAATTACTAGAGCTAATCAGTGAGTTTATTAAAGTTGCAGGATACAAAATCAATACACAGAAATCACTTGCATTTCTATATACTAACAATGAAAAATTGGAAAGAGAAATTAAGGAATCAATCCCATTCACTATTTCAACAAAAAGAATTAAATATTTAGGAATAAACTTACGTAAGGAAACAAAAGAACTGTTACACAGAAAGTTATAAGACACTAATGAAAGAATCAAAGATAACATAAGCAGATGGAGAGATATTCCATATTCCTGGGTAGGAAGAATCAATATTGTGAAAATGACTATACAACCAAATGCAATCTACAGATTCAGTGTGATTCCTATCAAATTCCAAATGACATTTTTCACAAAACTAGAACAAAAAATCACACAATTCTTATGGAAACAGAAAAGACCCCGAATAGCCAAAGCAATCTTGAGAGAGGAGAATGGAGCTGGAGGAATCAAGCTTCCTGACTTCAGATTATACTACAAAGCTACAGTCATCAAGACAGTATGGTGCTTGCACAGAAACAGAAATATAGACCAAGGGAACAAGATAGAAATCCCAGAAATAAACCCATGCACCTATGGGTACCTCATTTTTGACAAGAATATACAATGGAGCAAAGACAGCTTCTTCAATAAATAGTGCTGGGAAAACTGGACAGCTACATGTAAAAAAAGTGAAATTAGAACACTTCCTAACACCATACACAAAGATAAACTCAAAATGGATTAAAGACCTAAATGTAAGACCAGAAGCTATAAAACTCTTAGAGGAAAACATAGGCAGAACACTCGATGACATGAATCAAAGCAAGATCCTCTATAACCTGCCTTCTAGAGTAATAGAAATAAAAACAAAAGTAAACAAGTGGGACCTGATTAAACTTAAAAACTTCTGCATAGCAAAGGAAACTATAAGCAAGGTGAAAAGACAACCCTCAGAATGGGAGAAAATAATAGCAAATGAAACAACTGACAAAGGATTAATTTCCAAAATATACAAGCAGCTCATACAACTCAATACCAGAAAAACAAACAACCCAATCAATAAGTGGGAAAAAGACCTAAACAGACATTTTTCCAAAGAAGACATACAGATGGCTAACAAACACATGAAAAGATGTTCAACATTGCTCATTATTACAGAAATGCAAATCAAAACTACAATGAGATATCACCTCACATCAGTCAGAATGGTCGTCACCAAAATGTCTACAAACAATAAATGCTGGAGATGGTGTGGAGAAAAGGGAATGCTCTTGCACTGTTGGTGGGAATGTAAATTGATATAGGCACTATGGAAGATGGTATGCAGATTTCTTAAAGGAATAAAACCACCATATGACCCAGCAATCCCACTCCTAGGCATATACCCTCAGGAAACCAAAATTGAAAAATACACATGTATCCCATTGTTCACTGCATCACTGTTTACAATAGCTGGAACATGGAAGCAACCAAGTGCCCAATGACAGATGAATAGATAAAGAAGTTGTGGTACATATACACAATGGAATATTACTCAGCCACAAAAAGGAACACATTTGAGTCAGTTCTAATAAGGTGGGTGAACCTGGAACCTATTATACAGAGTGAAGTGAGTCAGAAAGAGAAAGATAAATATCGTATTCTAACACATATATGGGAGAAGGAAATGGCAATCCATTCCAGTCTTCTTGCCTAGAGAATTTTGTAGACAGAGGAGCCTGGTGGGCTCCTGTCCATGGGGACACAGAGAGTCAGACATGACTGAAGCAACTTAGCATGCATGCATGCAGTGGAGAAGGAAATGGCAACCCACTCCAGTATTCTTGCCTGGAGACTCCCAGGGTCGGAGGAGCATGATGGACTGCCATCTATGGGGTCGCACAGAGTTGGACACGACTGAAGCAACTTAGCAGCAGCAGCAGCAATGCATATATGTGTAATCTAGAAAAATGGTACTGAAGAATTTATTTACAGGGCAAAAATGGAGAAACAGACACAGAGAATAGACTTATGGACTTGGGTAATGGCGGGGAGAGAGTTGAGATGTATAGAAAGAGTAACATGGAAACTTACATTACCATATGCAAAATAGATAGCCAACGGGAATTTGCTGTATGGCTCAGGAAACTCAAACAGAGGCTCTGTATCATCTTAGAGGGGTGGGATGGGGAGGGAGATGCAGGGAGGTTCAAAAGGAAGGGGATATACGTATACCTATAGCCGATTCATGTTGAGGTTTGACAGAAAACAAAAAAATTCTATAAAGCAATTATCCTTCAATAAAAAAATAAATTAATTAAAAAAATGAATGAATGAAGTGAGAAGGCAATGCAGACATGGAGATACATTGTAAAAACACAAGTAAGATGTTCACTGAAGATTACAGGTTCATGTGCAGGACCTGATTTTGTTCCCACACCTCAGAAATGGCAATTGGCTTGTGGCCTTTTTGTATCTTATTGTTCATAATTTGTCCCCATCTGTGCATGTGTGAAGTTATTAGTCCCATTTTGCATTTTGTTGCTCAGGCAGATGCTTGTCCAGGTGGAACCACTGCAACAAAGGGTCCCAGGTCTCAGCCTCTCTCAGGTAAATGGGCATTCACTGTAAAATTCTTGCAGCTTGGCAAGTTTTCATAATAAAATGATGTTTAAAAATCTTAAGGCACATTTCTTTCTTTTTTTATTTTATTTTTTTCATTTATTTTTATTAGTTGGAGGCTAATTACTTTACAATATTGTAGTGGTTAAAGTACATTTATTATGAGACAAGTGCTCAGGGCTGGTGCACTGGGATGACCCAGAGGGATGGGGTGGGAAGGGAGGTGGGAGGGGGGTTCAGGATGGGGAACACACGTAAATCCATGGCTGATTCATGTAAATGTATGGCAAAAACCATTACAATATTGTAAAATAATTAGCTTCCAACTAATAAAAATAAATTAAAAAAAGAAAAAAGAAATCTTAGAAACATGGATTTAAAAAAGAAGAAAATAAAAGTTTTATCTAAGCTCTATGCTCAGAGCTCCTACTAATATTAGAAAATTTTTAATTATGCTCTGCATATTTTTTCTGTGTCTTGGGGTTATTGACATTGCAGTTGGATTATTCTTTGCTGTGGGAGCCTGTGTAAGCCCCACCCACTAGAGGCTAGCAGTCCCATCTCCCAAACGTGACAACGAAAACACTGTCGAACCTCCCACTCCCCCATCCTCACGTTGCCTCTCCTCCCACTGGAAACCACTAACTTGTTCTTTACATCTGTGAGTCTGCTTCCTTTTTATCACATATATTCACCAGTCTCTTGTATTTTTCAGATCCCATCTCTAAATGATATCATACAGTTTTTGTCTTTCTCTGCCTGACTTACTTCACTTAGCATAATGCCCTCCATGTTCATACATATTGCTGAAAATGGCAAATTTTCATTCCTTTTTATGGCTTAGAAGTATTCCAGTGTGCGTATATACCACATCTTTTTTCCATTCATCTGTTGATGGACACTCAGGTTACTTCCATATCTTAGCAATTGTCAGTAATGCTGCTATGAACTTTAGGATGCATGTATCTTTTCAAATTAGTGTTTTTGATAATCCACAATAAATGGTTTCTTGAAGGATATGTGATTTCAGATGGTGCTGGAGAGATTAATTAAGCCTTACACATAAAGGAGAATGATGAGTTCCAGAGTAAGTGGGCATCAGGGCCAATATTCAGAATTTAGTTCATGGACAAACAACCCAGCCAGGCTGGAAATGGAAAGTCCGAGCAGGGCCAAGAGTACCATGGCGTTAGTTTCCAGTCTGATGTGCTATTTTTGACCACATTGGACTTGCAAATTTGGGGGGAGCAGGGGACAGGATTAGAAGAAGGAAGTCTCTTTTCTTCTGCTTTTTAAAGAAATATCTTAGCTATAGATGTCTTCACATTAGCTATTATTTATAAGCTGCTTTTTGGTCAAGTCCTACAAAGATGAAGTTATCAAATCACTGAATTGATCTCTTCTAGATGGAGGTCCAAGTTTGTGAGATGTTGAATGTCCCACTATGGCCTTTCTCTCTGCATTTACCTCTCGGCCCCAACATATGCCCAACAAAAACTTGATCATGCTACATTCTCCACCTAAATCTTACTTCCTTTCATCAGAGACCAGATCAATGTCTTTCATTCACAGAAGGCTATTTCTATTTTATTTTCTTTTAATTAAGTATTTTTTTTCCATTTATTTTTATTAGTTGGAGGCTAATTACATCAAGAAAAGCTGTGCATAATGAATATATGCAACTCGATGAGTTTGTAGATTAGTAAACCCTCAGAAGACCATTACTGATGCCAAAATATTGGTTCTCTGTACACAATGCTGATATGAGATATGGAGACAGAGTTTTGAAGGAGAAAAAAAGAGCAGATTTATTCTTTGTCAGGCAAAGAGGGAGTGCAGCAAGCTAGTGTCTCGAAGTATTCTCCTTTCTCCAGAGGGAGGGTAATCAACATAGGGAAATCTTTTCAGCCCCTCAGAATATTCTCCAATGCCTCCTCTGGTCAGTACCATCCTCTCAACCCTGGAATTAACCCATCTCCACCACCACAGATTATTTTTGTCTATTCTTGAACTTTGTATAAGTAGACTCATACCATCTGTTGTCTCTTCAATAGTTCTTCTTTTGTTAATCAGTGTCTATTAGATTTATCCATGTTGGGGCATGTAGCTGTGCTCTGTCCTTTTTCATTGGTATACGGGATTCCATTTCGTGAATATGTCCCAATCTATTTATCCATACATATCTATT